ATTATTATTATTATTATTATTATTATTATTATTATTATTATTATTATCATTATTAGTATTATTACATAAGAAAATATAACAACTGTTACGCTGGAAAACAAAATCATAGATTTTTGTAAATCAATCTATATAGGTATTACAAAATATAATTGTTTACAAATGTGTATTATTTAATTATAATTACAGGTTTTGCAGTGTCGGATGTTTCAAAAACATTAATGTTTGACTACCATTACAATGTGATAAAGGCGCATTGCAAGGAGGCCATACATTTGATGTATACTGATACAGGTTAGTACTAGTTATTTTATTTATAATTATTATTTTATTAATTTGTTTTTTATATTTCAGATTCATTGGTATACTATGTGAAATCCAAATATTTTTATATAGATTTAAAAGAGAACCCAATATTGTTAAATTGAATGGATACAGCTAACTTACCACGAGACCATCCCTGCTACATTGCTAAACGAAAGAAAATATCTGGGTTGTTCTCAGATAAGATCGATAGTAAAACTATGTACGAATTTGTAGTCCTTTGTGCAAAATCTTAAGCATATATTTTGGATAATAAAAAAAAAAAAAAAGCGAAAGATATCAGAGGTCATGTAGTTAAAAACCACATGTTTGATGACCATAAGAGGTGTTTGTTTGGTGATGCGAGTCTTAACGAATATAAATATAATGTATCTATACGGTTGTTTAATCATAATATTATGACAACTAAATCCAATAAACTAACATACAACTCACAAGACGATAAGAGATATATTGGAAAACCAGATTCACACATTACCACATGGACACTACAAAATTGAGTAAGATAAACTTAAATATATATTAAAAAACAACTAAATATTACATTAATAATAATATTTTTTTTTTATTATGTTTCAGTGAGATGATACAGGATTTAATGTAAATGTTAAGTTATTTTTCTACATGTTAAATATAACATATGTAATTGTTAAACTAAATATAAAAATATAATAATAAATATAAAAATCATTTTCCTTCTCAAATTTATTGTTAACACTAGACCTTTAAAATCATACAATATGTGCTGTCGTATATATGTTGTGTATAAATTCTAAGGAAATGTTACATAAGGATAAAATAAAAAAATAAGGCTGTTTGTAAAAATATAATAGTAAATGTTTATTAAGATTTATTTATAACCATTTTCTCAATACATGAGCTGTATATAAAGTAAAATTTTGAAGTTTAAATCTTTATGAAGTATACAAAAAGATATAGTATTATCGGATTGTAGCCGGTTAACCCATGAACATCCTAGTTTTTTATATTGATAACCTATATTTATATATTTCTGTATTTATGTGTGGAATAAACTCTTGTAAAATCTGTTGTTTCTACAATCCTTTCACGTATATACATTCAAATTGTATTGAATTTAAAATCTGATTGAGCTTGTCACATTGTACGTCTCCATATTCGAGAGAAAGTTCACAAAAGCACTTCTTGAGCCATCAGTTAATGCTCTGAGATTATTCGTTCCGATAGTTCAATGTATTGAAATTTTGTTATAATTTTTCATTAAAATGTGTAAAATAAAAACCCATTCATACGATCTTCTATCCGTAAACTCTTTAAACGTTTTTTTCTTTCAGAGTCCTGTTAAAACGCTCAATAATTCATGTTTTGGTAGTGCTATACGTTGAATACATTTAATTTTATACTTTTTAATTAAAGCATCAAATGTTTTGTTATAACATTTTTTTGCCATTATCGACATGCAATAGTTTGGGAGATCGATTAATTAATGTTTTCGCGAAACCTTTTGTAACTTCAATTCCGGTTTTTGTTTTTAAGGGTAATACCTAAGCAAATTTTGTAAAACAGTCGATTTTACACAAAATATACTTGAAACCTTTATTTTTTTTTCGCGTATGGTATCATTCCAATGAGATCAGCTTGTCATAAATCTTTTTTACCGTACACATTGACTACACGTCTGGTATAATTTTTCTCATAGGTTTATGCAACTCATACGCGATCTCACGTTTAGACATCAGGAATTCTTTTTGTTAATCCGGCTTCATATAATTCTTCGAAAATAGATAATATTTCGTTTGAAACTCCTATTTTAACTGACTGAGAGGCTAATAAAAGTCTTAGCCTATCGACAAACTCATTCGGATCGTTTTAATAAACTATATTATGTTTTGTAATTTCATAGACAGTCCACTGCCGGATGCAAACAATCTGGTAATAATGTTTTTATATTAATCCTCACCATTACATGATGTCACCTAGGCGCAGAAACAACAAGAATAAGGGAAGCGATCATATCAACTGGGTTATTGATACAATTTCAATAGAACTACACGTACCTGGTAGGTAATTAGCTTATTACTATAACTTTTACTATAAAACTGATTTTTTTGTTGTTTTTGTTTTATAGGTTCTCAATACTGCGGATCGGGTACAAATTTAAAGAAAACACTAGCCCGCGGTGTTCTTGATGTAAACACATTGGATTCGTATTGCAGAGATGATGATATTGCATACGATCGTAGAAACGCGCTCTCCAATCGTAGAAAAACAGATTACATTTAAGAAAATAGAGCGTGAGACCGGGTTTAAGCGAGAAATTCGTCTTTGAAAGGAAAAGCGATTGCTTGGGGTGTGACCACTGCAATGAAGTTAAAACGAATATTAAGAAGCAGCTATATGTTTAAGTCAGCGGTTAAGGCGCCTAAAAATATACTTAAGAAAAATAAAAAAGAAAAAAGGCTTGTTAAAATTAGCTCGAAAATGTCTTGCAGCGGCTAAAAAGACTACACATACCAAGAAAAAAAAACCAATCAATACTGAGGACCTCGTAGTATTTTGAAGAAATGACTAGCCAGCGGTGATTCAGGTGTAAACACATTTAGGAGTAGGAACTAATCTCCAACAATATCCTATTGAAAAATTAAATAGGTCAAACCCTCAAAGGACCGGTCCAAGGTTCCATATATGGAACCTATACGTATACGTTCCTATATAACAAGAGCACACAACCCTCTCCCGAGTTTCTTGTCCGTAGGCCGTCAGTGTGTGCATCCAAGCTCTTGGCTATGTACATGAGTATCAATCGCCGGGACTCTCGCAGGAGCTTCTTGTGACGAACCGAGTGCGATTGTTTTGCTTTCATTTTTTAAGTTTTTCTTCTGTGCGAGTCTCGAAGAGTATCCATCATTAGCTATGAATACGGTGTCCGTGTTAATTGATTTCCATCTTCACTCTATTTTGCAACAGTCGTAAGTGATCGGCATATAGACGCATCGATCAAACCTTTAGGCTCTTGAAATTTGTTGTTTTCTTTTTTTGGCTGTGCTGTTTTTGTTAAAGTCACAGCTTCAACATCCTTTAAAATAACTGTCATTGTAATTTTATGTGATGGAATCTGGAACAGATTTTTTTTATTTATTTTTTTTAATCTACCACCTTAAGCACATACTTGTGTTGGTAGTAGAGTGCTATATAACATATTGTGAAAATGTAATTATAATTATAAGTAGAAAAATCTGACAAGAATTAAGTAATATATAGAATAATATAAAGAATAAACGTATTATATAAAATAAAAAAAATAGAATAGAATGAAAGTAGTATTACATACAATTTGAATACTTATAACTAATAATAAATTACAATAGTTAAATATAGTTCCTTATTATTTAACCAAGTATTAAAATAACCAAATCTGAATTTTTTTTTTCATTCCTATAGATAGTTGTATTATTCTCTTCGGTATAAAATATTTCCCTTTTTATATTTACTGGCATTAAGTTGAATATTTTTGGACCTAGACAGTCTATGAATTTTTTGACCAAACGCTTTTCTAGAATATTCAATTCTCACATCAAATACTATATTTGATATATTTGATTGATTTAAGTTATTATTAATATAATTATTATAAATTTATAATTACCTACTTGAAAACGTATAAATTCTTCTGAAGATGGCTGGAGTATAATTAAATCCTCAATCGCAAACTTTCTAGATTTTGATGAAGATCCTTTCTATTGTTTATTAAAATATTTAAAATGTTTCTGCTAAAATCCAAAATAAACAGTGTCTACATTGCCATGCTAATTAATTGAATATAAATAATGAAACAATATTGTGTACATGAAAAAAATAATAAATTACCTAATTATAGTAGTCACTCAATAATTCGAAATTCAGACCGAATTGAAAATTCGATTTATAGGTGTTTTCGATTTACTGAGTGTTCCAAAAATCGAAGGAAAGAAAAATAATACGAATTATAGAGAGGTGAAAAATGTTATTATATTTATTTTGACATTTATTTATTATACATATTATATGCATAAACGTACGCAGACTTGTATTTCACAGGTCCATACAATACTTTTGGGCCCTTATCTTGTCAAAACGTTTATTTATATTTAATAAATTACTATGTATAAAAAAACTAAATAAATATAACTTTAATTTTTTATATAATATCGTGGTATAATAGGCTCAATGAATATATTTTCCTTGAAACTTGTATATTTTTCTGACAGCTTTTATTATTTATGATTTGTACTTTTCTAGTCAATTGTAGATATGTTATATTATTATAATAAGTTTTTGAAAGAAATTTAAAATTGTTGCTATTACTAAACATCATTTATTTTTTAACGAAGCAGGCATGTAATACCACGGGTACAATAATACAAAAAGTTCCGCAGTCTGCAAATTATAGACCTCAAACTTAATGGCGTAATTTGGAATTGGTTCTGGGGTGGGATTTGGATATTAGTTAATACTATCGTTATAGTGGGGCTATGGTTTTTAGGTTTTTAGGCCCTTACCACTATTTTGGCTTCCCTAGCCGGCTAGACGTGGGCCATACAATTATGATTAACAATAATATGATAATGTTCTTTCTCCTTGAGGAAAAATAAGAGGACGATGATTTATTAATCGCTACACATTCTGATCAGAGAGAAAAAGTTGATGCAATTTTTCTTAATAGAAAAACTGATGAATACTTTAAAGTTTTAATAAATCGACATTTAATACGAAATGAAACAACATTTCGCGAGTTCTTTCGTGTTAATAAAATTGTTTTCGAACTAATCAATCAATTCCTCTTCTTGTTCTCGCGTAAAATTCAATTTAGCCATATTGATGAGTCGATGGTGGCGAGCGACAGTCGCAATACACTGCTCTCGGACCGGCAGTGTCTCCGGTCGCGACGATAAAGTTCAGTCGCGCGTTGGAAACCAGTCAATAGGAATCGCATATCAACAGTCGGGCGGCGACTGATCGCGGCTTGGAAACCGTACCTTTACCACCGTTGTCGCGCGGTCGCGTTTCGCCCGCGGTGCACTTGCGTACCGCGCGGGTTCCGCGACGTTGAAGTCCGCGCGGCCGCGAGCTTCGGTTCCGACGGGACGCCGGCGCGATTGGGCGGCCTCGCCCGACCAATAATTGTCGGCGGCCGCGCGCGCTCGATGGGCGTGGTGTTGCGATTCGGCGCCGCGCTCAGTCGGGCGTTCGTCACATGCGTCGGCAGTGATCGCCGCGAACCCGCTCCGCTAAGACCGCCCGGGCGCCGCACGCACGCTCCGCACCGGTGCTCACGGTACACGCACGTTTCGCGACGCGCACGCACCAGGCGCCCTAAAGGGTTTGGTTAGGTTGTCGCGCGGCGTCGTCCCGGCACCCAGTCCCGCGGTGGTGGTACCGTTCCGATGCTGGTCCGGTAACGTTTCGCACGCACCAAGCTCGGCTCGCTCGCGGTAACGGGTTCGTCGACAGACGGGTACCCGGTTCATTTTCCTTCACCGCCGCACATCGTGGTAAACCCGTTCGCCGTTCTGCAACTGCACTGCGCTGTTCTTTCGACCGCTGTTGATCTCGGGGCGCCCTCGACGAACGTCGTTTTCCGTCCGGACGCGCGATTTATACCGCCGATTTCTCCGCGACCGTCCTGCGGACGAGATGTGAAGACCATTTCACGAGGCAACGACTTCGCGATCGATAATCTCCGTTCGCATTCGCAGACACCATAGGTATGTTTTCGTTGCTCGAGTACCCTGAGCGAACAGCCACGTAAATGTTTAAATATTTTGCACTTTTATTTACACAACGATTCCCGCGTCCTGAACAACGGTTATCTCTACGTATAAGGTCTTGTTAGACGATGGATTAAACCGACGAGATACTCGTTGTTTCGTCCGGTGCGTGTTGTACAAAAGTATAATTTTTTATTTTTTTTTTTTCATACATATGCTATGCGGATAAATTTTAATAATCTTTGGAATTCGTATTAGCTATTTGAATACCGGTTAACAACTTTTTCGTAATAAGTACATTCTGTGGTTTTCACTTTCGACGACGCGGTGCAACAAATTGTACTTGAAATCATAACACACATGACGGTTGCTCATTTTGTGCTCAAAAATGTGAAATCAATGCACGAGGTATGAAGCGAATAACATTCGTACCGTGTCCGAACGCAAAATTTAAGTCGCGCTCACATCGAATGCGTTTACGTACAAATTTTATTTGTACCAACACGTTCGTTCACATGTGTACCATCCCGACCTACCAAGTACAATGGGACCGCGCAGAATTGTTGCGAATTGTTCGTACGTTTACAGTTTTGACGTGCGAACACAATCCAAAATTGTTGGGATTTTATGCACTTCCGTGCGTAGAAAAATGTCAAAAATGAATGTTGGAAAATTTATCAACTTTATTTACGGACACACGTGTGTGTGGGATCATAGCGATTCAAGTTATCAGTGTTGCGAAAGTTGTTGAATTTAGTGAGATTAATTTGTATAGTGTTTGGAAAACAAAATTTTCATATATCTTTATGCGTTCATAACTATGCAATAGTATGTGTTCATTATGTCTTCCATATTATGATGGAATTTACCAAATTAATTTATTTTTAAATATATTTCTCGCACTCGTTCGGTTCTACGACAGTGAAGACGACACAACCGTCTCCGAATTAGAGTAGAATTATCTTGAAGATACAGATTATTCATTGCATTCAGGACGTCACGAATGCTATATCACCGGAACACTATTTTACGAACAAAAACGTACTCTATTCGTACGACCGGTATTTCTCGTACTTTCGTACGATACAAATTCGCACCCAATGTGAGCGCGGCCTTAGATAAATTTGTCACAGGGAAAACGAAAAATCCTAGATCATGAATACGGGCGTCGAGCGTTTTTCTAATGATTCCAAAAACCCGATATAGGTAATCCGATAAAGCACACACATTTTTCGGATTACCGGTTTTCTTTTTCGCAAAAGAGGTAGAAGTGCAATAGTGTATCGCCCGCGCAAACGTGTTGATATTTAATCTCGGTTACGCTTCCAGAAAACCTGCCGATAACAACGGCCGAATCGCCTGCGCTTGCGATACAATATCGTCGGCGGGCCCGCAGGATCGGCCGGAGCCGTCGCGGTCGAACGTGCTGAGTCGCAGTACTGGCGAGACACCAGCGGCAATGAGCCGGTACCGGACGGCGTTCCAGTCGTTCTCCATTGAATCGTTGATCGGCGGAAGGGCCGACGACAGCGGCACGAGCCAGGACGACAAGGACGACTGCGGCAGCGTCGCAACAACCGGCCGCGAACGTTCATCACCGCCGTCCGAAGAGGTGCTGGTCGCGCGGACTACGAGTTCGTCGGCCGCGCACCATCACGACTGGACGGACGTGTCATCGGGTTCGCCGGCGTTCGGGACGCGGGACAGGCGGCTGTCCACGTTGTTCAGCAGCATGTTGGACACGGCCATACAACAGCGACAACGGTTGGTGCAGCCGCAGCCACCGCAGTCACCGCCGCTGCTGCCGTTGCACTTTGATTACTTCAAAGCGATGCAGCTGCAATCGGCGGCCACCGCGGGCAAGACGTTTTCGCCGCGAGCGCTTTGGCCGTATTTGAGCGAAGTGGTCGCGTTTCCGCACGCGGCGCCGCCGCCTCCGCCACCGCCGGCGTGTTATTTACAACCTCCACCGCCGCTGTTGCCGCAGCCATTCGGATGCGCCGACGAAGCGTACGAGGACGACGATCACGTGTCGTCGTGCGACGTCACGTCACCGATCGCCGGGAAGTCGACGGGAGATTTGATGTGCCGCCATCAGGACGACGAGGACGACGAAGAGGACGAAGAGGACGACGATGTCGACGCGGACGAAGACGGCGACGATGATATGAACGAGACCGACGCCGGTGATTACGACGAGACGACGGCCAATCCGCGGTTCGGTGAGTTGTAACATTGCACATCACGTGCGCTCAGTGGCATGCATTCGATTTCCTTACGGAAGGAGTATCATTTAAATGAAAAATACAATAAATAAGAATTATACTATCTACCGTAGTTTTGATCTCTTGATATTAATAGATAAATATTTTTGTCAATGTTTTAATCTTAATTTCTAATAATTCCAGAAAACAAAATAATGTCAAATGGTACAAACTATTGTGTTACAAACTCATAGACATATAGAATTAATTATTAAAAATTCAAATCATGTTATTTTTTTTATGAACTGCACAACATTTAAATAAGAACTTCACATTTTAATTTAGAACTGCACATTATGTGCATAACTGCATATTAGCGTAAGCTCTGTCATAAAGTAGATATTCTAGATCAAATAGATCATATTATTGATATTTTTGCCAGTTTTAAAAATAGATGACTTGAATTTATGTTGTAAAAATTGTTGTTTTCTTTTTGTTATAATATTTTGTAAAATTATAACTTGCCCCCCCCCTAACCAAAGCTCTGGAGCCACCTCTGATTATTTTTATATTGTTAGGTATTTGTTATATAATATGTTCTATTAATCGTACCATTAGAAAACTACATGGTTATTAATTTAAAAATAGCTTAACCAAATTGTAATTTTCTTTCATACATTCTTTATCCTTATTTGTATTTTTTTTAAATTTCATTTTTATTTGGGATTAAAATTATAAATACGTATAAATAAAAATCATATAGAAGAAATGTCAAAACATAAATATATAAACATTTTTTAAAAAAAACAAAATTAGATGATAATATTGTAAACAAAAAGTTTAAAAATGAAATTATACCCCAAAATTAAGACGATCAATCCAACTCAATTCATTCACCTGCCACTGAGATCGCATATACTAGAGATATTGGTAACTAAGTTGGTTTTACATTTAATAAAATAAAAGACGATGCACTTTATGATGTTCTACGTGATCCATGGGTTTCACATGAAATTTTTTTTTAAAATAGGTTCCTTTAAACTTCTCTTGATAAATAAGTATCCCTGGCTATCTTAAAGCCAAAAACTCGGAGGAGCTTTTTATAGACTATACGTTTTATTTGGTAGCGATGAGGGAAGTTGTAGTCGTGTTAAACTAGAAAAATTAATTACAGTACCACTATATCTTTATAAAATAGCAAAAGAAAATTTTAAGAACCATCAAAATAATAACTACCATAAGAATTCTGTTTTCGTCAAACATCTATTTTTATGTATTATATATTAATAATATTATTAATCTTAATAAATTCAAACTACATTTTTTTTTTAATTTTTTTTTTTTTTTGGCTTTGGAAACACAAAACTGTACAAGTAGCATAACTAGAATATGTGATACATTTGTATTTATTGCCGTGACAATAATGTTATCTAAATGATTTATTTAACTTTGGGTGTTGTATGGGTTAGAGGTTCTGTATGATTGGGTTAAAATGATTTTGTAATAAATTATGAAACCCTTTATAGAAATAAGCAGCTTCTCCATTTTCATTTTTCATTGGTTGTTGTGCAAGGAGTAATTAGGTATAAAAGGTGGAGCATATGTAATTTTTCCGAGAATTATATTTTGAAACCGTTGGATTTTGATTGTGTTAGAAACTTTCTCAGTGCTCTACAGTTGAAGGTCGTAGGTTCATAAAGGCTTTAATAGAATTTTGAATAAGAGAACTTTAATTTTAAACTGTATAAGTTTATTGCTCATTAAAGTACGTAACCTGCGGAGCCGAGCATTTAAAGCCTTCTGACGCGAATGTGGCTATTCTAAGTGAGGCACTTGTTCAAGTTGAGTCCTAAGTATCTAACTGTATAAGACATTGAAAAATTAAAATTATGAAGGGTGACATTTGGGTAGAACAGAAGGATTGACATAAAGTGAATAAAGTATGAAAAATATAATTTTTAACCGACAAATTATAAATGATAATTTTTTATTTAGGAACGGTTCATATAATATTAAAACTCTTGTATTAAGAATATTCTCGGTATTAAATGAATGTGGAAAAATGGTCCTTTGGAAGGAATAAAAATGAATAACTGAAATTATTTTCAAATTACATGCGTACGTTCCATAAGTTCGTGAATGATAATGAAATGTCCAATCATGTTCCTACACAGTAAGGTATTTTAAATAATTGTACTTGTATTTTAAAAATGATTCTAACTAAAACCTTGAAAATAACCACATGTATCAATAAATTGATATTGATTTGTATTGTTATTTTTTTATGAGTATTCAGCTTTTGTGCAGACTATTGTTATATTAGGCATACCTCTCAATAAAGTTATCTATTGTTGGTCGCTTCTTGCATCGGGTCACGAAACATAATAAATAAGTATTTTTTTTTTTTACGCATTTTATCCATTACTGTTTAACTTCCTCCATTTGATTTACCATACTCACTTCCGACTCATCTATATCACGCCATCAAATTACTTAAACTTTATTATCGGTGACACCGACTTTGGTTTAATATGGATTCCATATACTTCGTTCGTATAGCTGTTAGTTTCATTGTATATAGAAAAGTATAAAATATATAAAACACTAATAAAATACTAAAATACAAATTAAACCATCGATTTTTTTTTAAATATATATATTATATAATAAATATAATAGGATAAATTATATCCTATTTAATGAACGATTGTCAGTTTTCATGATGAAATCTTAAAGAATAAATCACAAATATGATTTCTATAATACTTTTTGTGTAATTTGTTTAATTAAAAACAATATGTTACATTAATATATACACATCCCTTATAATATAAATATATAAATATATAATATAAAAAACTGTAATCTAAAAGTGTTATGTACGCATTTCAAATTGAAAATAACGTTATAATAAACCAAAAAAACTCTTTTTTAATTAATAAAAACATGTCGTATATACTAGTAATTAGTGTTCGAAATGGGGGGATACGGAGTTTTGTCTTTTGTGTATTTACAGTTTTCATTCATCTACTTGTTTTGTTTAGAATAACGCATTTCTCTTAAGACTTATATTTTAAAACGATATACTTACTATCATTTTTATATTTATATATAAGAAATTATTTTTTTTCGGTGAAAATAATTGTTTTTAACATTCAGGCCCGGATGCCCAGTTTATCGTGTTGTTTAGTATAAAACGTTTCGCAACCCGTGTTTAGAGCCACGGACTAAGATAATATACCTTATGTGAACTATAAAAAAAAAATAAAATAAAATATTTAAGGTACACAAGGTGTGAAGAATGTTACGATGATATCAGGAAATCTGAATTGTGAGGCATTCCTCCACTTATCTTGAGCCATTTCGACCACTGCTAGTAATTATGAAAATCACAATTGGACATTATTCAAAATAATATACCATAAAAATGTAGTTGATACTCGTATAACAATATAAATGTAACTCACTAATTACCGTCCTTGAACTCTTAATTTGTTATACATTTTACAAACATATAGGTATCTATAAAATTAATACGTCGTTCATCTTCACAAATGTAACACATTTTCAGGAAAATGCATAAATGATACATCTGAAATTCTACATCTCAGGCAAAATATAACGGAGCTACAGCCTTCTATTGAGAACAAGTCTCGTCGAAGAAGAACAGCATTCACTAGTGGTCAATTATTGGAACTAGAACGTGAATTCCAAGCCAAAAAATACTTAAGTCTTACCGAAAGATCTGAAATAGCAAACTCGTTGAAGCTTAGCGAAGTTCAGGTAATAATATTTGTATGACGTTTATATAATATTATGATTTTTTCTACTAGGGACTGAATATGAAAAAACAAATTGTTTATTGAGTCATGATTTTATTGACTTTGTACTTGATTATGAATTTTTAATTCGAAACCGTTCGTACTTTACAAATTATATTCTAGATTAAACTATTATTTATTTATATGTTAATTAATTATACTCGTAGTTATTAAGTGGTATTTATTAGAAATTCAGAGAACTCGTTTAACATGCCATTCACAACAATTATTGTAATATGAGTTTTTCAATCAAGAATTTATTTTAATTTTAAAAATACACACACATATATATATATATATATTTCGTGAAATGGATACCTAAACCTTCATTGATGGAACTTGTTCCGTCATTTTGATGTCCATATAGCAAAAATTAAAAAAAAAACTTTAATTTCTATATATTATAATATATTACAATTATTTTTTAAGAAAATGTTGTACAAATATTATAATATTATAATACTTTAATATAAATTATTATTTATTTAGACAAGCTTGTGTTATGGAAACGAGAATTACAATTTAAATTACTTTTAAAACAATCACATTTTTTTAGTTTGACATTTGCCTTTACAATAACAGCTAAAAATACCTTGACCTCCATTTAAAGAAGATACAATTTCTCTTAATGACATTTATTTTGTCTTATTCACTTGCTCGATGTCAATAAAATTTGATTTGGCTGGTTGTATATTTTCAGAACCATATCAACCTTTTAGTATGCCATGTTCAGTTCCTAAATGGTTAAGTTTATTTTTCTGGTCGGTCACTACATCAATAACGTTAGGTGGGTCTACAGGACTTCTATTCACCTTTTGAACCGGGATTACAACACAGTCTCTAACTTTAAATGTTTTAATTTTAATCTTACTATCCTATAGCATAATGAAATAATGAATTATTTTAAGTAAATATGAAAATTAAAATTATTTTACTTGTAACATTTTTTCGACTTACTTTTCTATTCCTATAGCTCCTAAATGATGTGCTTCCTTAATTTTTATATTCTCCTCACATAAATTACATAAAATTGCTTCGCTGGAGTACACTTCCATACAATATAATATTTGTAAAACATTTACTTAAAATTAATAATTTAATTTAATTTTTAGAAATAAATATAATACGAGTATATAGAAATTAAAGTTTTTTTTTTAATTTTTGCTATATGGACATCCAAATGACAGAATAAGTTCCGTCGATGATGGTTTAGGTATCCATTTCACAAAATATTATCCATATTGTGTAATTACGTGAGTGGAGAAATCGCGGTTCCATTTCGCAAAACGTACAATAACGCGATATGGATGCGACATATATATATGTAAACTGTGAAATCTAATAAATTATTAATTTTAAGAATTAATTTTTCCGTACATAATATCTAATAAGAGTAACGAACTTATAATTTGTGTAGAATTAATTATAAATAATATTTAACATATTTATAGATTATAAGTTATAACTGAAATTGATGGTTCGTTATACATTATTTATACTTGACTTGGCATGACTAGGTACAAGAAAATATAAATACAAATTTCAAAAACATAAAAAGAATAAAGCGTAGAAAAAAAAAAGAAAGCATAGCTTCTAATGGATATTTTAATAATTAACATTATTTATACAATTATTTAATGGTCAAATTCGATAAGTAAATACTTATATTTTTCAATTTAAAAATTAAAGTTATAATGATCTGATAATAATTTCATTAAAGTATAGAAGTGTAACATAAAAACTGTTACATAAAAAGTTTTCATAAAAATCAACAGCACACATCAATAAATAATTTAAGTATTCGAGGTACTGACCTCAGTATTCAGTATAGATTCTATTTGATGTGACAAGTGTTTAAAAAAGTACTAAGTATCCACATTTCTAGAAATCACCAAGCATCGCATAAAAAATTTAATTTTTCTGAAAGTGAAACAGCTTTTGAAAATACTATCGTAGAAACACTCAAGACATAAGTATCCTATTAAATCTCGTTGATTTGAGTCTAATCAAACAACTAAATGCCTTTTCTAATTCTAGTCGTTAATCTTACTGAGCTGCTTCTAATTTTCCACCCTTTCTAGTAAAATAAAAAAACATTAACGTATTTTTTCCTTATATAGACTGTACTTATTGTTAAAACTTTTACCAACTAACGTTCACAAATAATTAATTGTCGTTGATGCAGTTACAAACGTACTCAATTGAAACAAATTAATCATTTACTGACTCATCAATAATACAGCTATTTAAGCTCCATTTCACTAGTATATACTTTTGAAATTTTTTTATTTTTGCAATATAAATTTATTTTGCGGATAATTTGCGTGATTTTGCGGACAACTAGTTTTTTTAGCAAATCCAAAAAAAGTTTGACATGCTAGTGAAATGTTGCAAAAATTTAAAAAAATTACTATTTTTGCAATTGAAAATAAAATAATTTATAAAACTAATTAGGTATCGGCTTCATTTTTATTTTTTTAACATAGTATTATCATTTATCATGACATCTAACCTGCATAATAATTTTTTCAGTTTTTTAAATTTTCATTAAAACTATTAATTAAATGGTATATATAATATATATATACCAATTAATTAATTTATATATATATATATATATATATATATATATATATATATATATTTATAAGTGGAGTAAAGCTACCTATAAGAAAAATAAAAATTATCTATCCCTTTAAAAAAATTGATTGCATATAATTAGTACTACCACATTTTTTATTTCATAATCGTACTCAATATGAATGTACGATTATTATTATTCTTTGTTATGTTTCAACTTATTAACCACGAAATAAATAAATTGCTTTTTTAACTTTCTATTATTTTAATCTTCGATTTAAATCATATGCGATGTATATGAATAGTCTTTTCACCTTTAAAATTGAAATTAAATATTTTTAAAAATAGCACATTTTCGAATGTTAACATTTAATATTCACAATTTTCTTTGTCGTGTAAAAGAATTTGTACACTGTATTTTGTTTGTTCTGGTATAGGTACTTGTTTGTGTTTAAAATCATTATACTCTTCCCAATGTCCGTAATTTCTTAGTGAAACTGCTACATAATGAAATTGTGGTTTTTGTAAAATTATATTGATCCTGTCGATTGCATTGAAAATTTTTCCCAAACAGTAAGTATTGAAATGAAATAAAAACGTTTACGTGATCTTATCAAATTATCTGCATCAAAATTTGTTTCTCCCGATAATGGTTCTTGTTTTAGAACATCAAAGCTTTTAAAAACTTTATCAAGTTGAGTACTTATATAATTTATTTTATTTTATATTGCAAAAAATCTAATTACCCACAAAAATTGGAAATACGTCTGCGAAATAACGCAAATTATCCGCAAAATTATGGTATTCTGTAAAATTAAGTAAGTGATTTTTTAAATTTTTGCAACAATTTAAAATTTTTTCATCAGCATGTCAACTGCTTTTTGCTTTTTTTGCTAATAAACTAATTGTTCGCAAAAATCAGAAATACCTCCGCAAAATCACGCAAATTATCCGCAAAATAACATATATTGCAAAAATAAAAAAAATCGCAAAAGTACATGCTAGTGAAATGGAGCTAATAATTTACAGTAAATACAAATGTTTTAACTGTCAAATATATATTATACTATTTAAACATAAAATCACAACCGATTCAAGTATGCGTGTTTTTTTGATTTCGATATAATGTTCGATGTTGTACGATAAATAGCAGTCTCAGTTATCCGGCTATATTTACTTTTAATAATAACAAATAAAACGTTTTATCTTTACGTTTGATACAAACGATTGTCATATAAAATGATATAATCAACAAACCACAATTTTAATGACATACAAACTGTTAATTTTATTCCGTATTTACTTATAAACAAATATTAGTACAATCAATTTATGCGTATTAGTTTGTTTTTTTTTTTAAATAATTTACTTATACAATGTTCAAAATATGAAAAAGATAAAAACAATATTGAAAATTATGAATGGTAATATAAATAATTTGCCATTAAGATGTAATATAATATATTGTTCCTAATTCTTACGTAATGTTGAAAATTTAAGTAAAAACTTATCTATATACAAACTTATCTATTTCTTATTTTATACTATATTACTAAATAGTATTATATTATTTAAATTATAATAATAATTATACAGAAATCTGTAGCTATATAAAAATATTGTATAAGTACATTATAATTAATTAATTCATTATTTTATATAATTTTATTTCCGTGTACTGTATATGCAAGTAAACTGACTATTTATTTTTGTTAACTATTGAACTTGTCTGACAAGGGTTCATTCTCAATCCCCTTTTATTTAATATTATTTAATATCATTCAGAATTTATAGTAAATCCATTTCGATTCACTGAGCCATCTTATATTTTGAAAAATGACGTGAAATACACGATATTTTTCTTTGGAAAACATTAGAAAGTCACGCCTTTTTATCAAATTGCTTCTCGACATAAATGAAACATAAAATATTTTTCTTTCGAAAATCCATATCGGTTTATAATATCCATGTTTTTTTTAACGGCATACAAAAATTTATTAAACCTCAATAACCCTATATCATTGATATCTTTATTAGAACTGTATGAAAAAAAAAAACAATCGTTGAATAAAATAAAACTTTACCCTTCAACAACAACTACGGTATGATCACCCTCTTTTGAGTGGTAATATATGTTGTGTGACAGAATTAGCATAATCATAGGATATTCGCTTTTTGGCATATCTATTAAGATTGTCAGGAAACAGCAAAAACGTTTTATATACTTAATATCTCAAACAAGTAGTCAATTTTAGGGAAATATTAAAAATATTTTAAGTATTTAATAACTAGTGATAACGTGCTGAGCTTATGAATAAGTCATGCACAGTTTATGATTTCTAAATTTCTAAAAACATTAATGTATATATTTAAATTGGATAATCTGTTTTTTTAATTTGTATTATGCATAATATGATAATAAATCATTTACATTATTATTAAAATAAGTGTAAAAATTAGGTACGTGCTGTATACATTTAAAAGTGTTTTCTCACTTTAACGAGGGATAACATAGTTATTAATCAGTAACATTTATTTTAATATTAAAATCTTAGTAATTTGTAATGCATATATTTTCTTTAATTTTATTTTTATTTTTTATAATATACAGTATTTGTGTTTACACAAAGTTTCAAAATTAATAATACTTCAAGCATCTATATGATATTGTAAAATTTATAATAATAAACATTACTATTACCACTATCTTAAACTGTACACGCTCACATAACGTACTAAAATTAAATATTAAATAAAGAAGTCACATTTAGTTGATTATTATTATTATTATTAATTTTTTTATTTTTATGACATTTTATTTTTTGCGGTCTTACCTAATTGTATCTAATTCTTGCTCTCCTATTGTCCCTATCTAAGAAAAACAACCTTGGCACCGCCATTGACGTGCAGTTAGGTGGGTTCCGTGTGGTTGCGTGAAAACTTTATTAACAATACCTGACCGTCGTTGCGCGTGTACGGTGCGAACGTGGAACGCATCCACCATGATCACGACTGGATCAAGGAAAGCCTAGGAAAGACTATAGCCAGGGCCAGTGAAAACTTTTGAGGGCCCCGAGGCTGATCGATTCTAGGTCTCCTTTACTTAATCTTGTTTGGTCAATACTACACTCTACTTGTACATACTTTAGTACAATGAAAATATTCAAATTTGCATCTTATGTTACGACGAATCGTAAAATAATTTTATATAAATGGTTGAGATGATGGGCCCTCTCGGAGGTACGGGCCCCCGGGATCTAGCCCTCTTTGACCCATCTTCTCACCGGCCCTGATTATAGCCTCGGGCTGCAATTTCAAAGGAGTCACAATGTATTTCATAATCGTTGGCTAACAAATATAAAGTAGGTATTGTTTTATCAATAAATTGTGACTATACTATACTATAAATTGCCAAACCCGAATAATAAAAAAAAATTATATTTTTTTGGGCGAAAGAGCCTCACCAAAAGTAATGCCCCCCTCCCACATATATGTTATGACCATAGTCCGGCCCTGCCGACGATAGTGTGTTGCCTTTGCGCGTACCGTCATTACATCGGTGCGGTTATCTGTCACCAGGTGAAAATATGGTTCCAAAATCGTCGCGCCAAGTGGAAACGCGTCAAGGCCAACCTTCTTTCGTCCGCGTGCGGCGAAGGCCAGAAAACAAGCAACGCATCCTCGAACTCGACACGTGGCCGATCAAAGTGCCCCAACGGCGGCGGCGGTAGCGCGGCAAAGATCGTCGTGCCCATACCGGTGCACGTCAACCGGTTCGTGGTCAGGAGCCGACATCAGCAGCTGGAGAAGTGCGCCTCGGGGTTCGCCCATCTCCGGTATGACAACGATTTCAAAATCAACAGCCCGCTCACGTCGTACACCTCGATCCTGTAATGCTATCCGTTCGGCATCCGGTTGCGGCCATCCGTCTGCCGAACCGTCCGCTGGACCGGAAAGACGATGATCACGTACGATCGTTGACATTGGTCACCGTTTACCGTTCTACGGCGTGGGCACCTGCCCGTCGACCACGTCGTTGGGCACCATACAACCGACCGTGGGCCCAACAATCGGTTTTTTGAGCGTGGCCAAACGTTTTCAACCGCTTAACGTCAGGACTGGTCGTCCGATCCTGCCGACTTTGAAACCCATTGTTGTGTGCGATGTCAGCTGTGCCGTCACGCGCATTAATGTGTTTCGTTCACAATCGTGTGCACGGTATCAGTGGCGCCGCCCCCCCCCCCTTCGTGAACCGGTAGGGCTTCTGCCTTACTACATGATAGGTCGGCGTTTTATTGCTTATCTTGAATTATAAGCAAACACAGTTAATTATCAACTCCTAAGTATATGCTATCCGGTAGATCAGTTGACAGGTTCTATTTGTTTAACAATATTTTTCATGTAAGGCGAATATTATTAGGTTCTAAACCACCATTCGTAGGATGGGGTGATGTCCCATAGTTTAATAATTACGCCTAAACTGAATTTTTTAGTCTCGGCGCCACTGCGGTGGCACACATCATAACCTTAAAACCTCTAAATTCGGTTACTTGAATTATTTTAATCAAATGCGCATGAAAAATATTAAAATACAAAACACGAAATAGTATCAAAAATTATTAGACGTATACGAAATTTAAATCGGAAAAAAAAATTTTAACGAATCACCAAATTAATATTAAAAAAAAAAAATACTAATATTTTGAAAAATATTTTAACGAGAATGAATTCCCGAGAAAAATTTTCAAAAGGTATATTGTTAAAACATTTATAAACTTTTAATACATTTTTTTTTATATTGCTCTCGTAGAATATAGCTTGTATAGATAAATATTATTTTCACAACACGCATTACTAAGCAAGTATCTTTCCCATAGCCAATTTTCTAAGATTTTTTTTCTATTTTTATGACATTCCTAAAATCGCTAGTTGGAACCAATAGGTCTTAGAGTGCGACTCTAATCCTGTAAAAAATGATTTTATACTAAATAGTAACAAATTACTATAATTTTTAAAAATTAAAATAATTTTGTCTCCTCCGTTGTTTTTAAAAAGAGTTGTTTACTTTGGAAATATTGATATAAATATTAAAGATTACAGTATTGCACAAAATCAGATAGTTTAACATAAAACTGAAGTATGTGTATATATATACTAATTGATCGTACTTATAAATATTCAAAATAAACGAGAAAAAAAATTATATTTAGAAAAAAAAATATAACTGTAAGTAAAATATTTGTAGATTTCAAAGTTTAAAAAAAAGTATAAATGCTAGATATTATTAATAAAAGGTGATTCGACTTATACGTTGAGGTTTTGATTGAACAACAATATATTTATCAGATTTGACGACACTGGATATTTTCGCGCTGTTAAATAATTGAATTGATATCTTGATTAAACTTAGTTCCCATCTTCTTTTATTGATCATTAAAAACTTAAGTATAAGACATATTTAGTATTTATTTATTTTTATTTTAGTAGTTTTTTATAATATATATTGTACTTTATCTTAAGACCAATAATTTTTTTAATCTTATTTGATATACTTCAATGCAAAAATCATGTACATAATCTGTTAATATAATACTTATATTCAAATGTCTAATTTATTTTTATGTTTAAGTTCATCGTAAGTAAAATATAATTAATTAAATTTAATACATTTAAAAACTATATAGAATAGTTTTCCAATGAATGTTTTCGATACATCGGCTGTATTGTAATTATTCAAATATATATTATAACATATACATTTTTGCAATTTACATTTTTATTTGTAATAAATTCTGTAAAAATAATATACGAGTATATATGAACATAAAGATAAAAGGATGAAACTTTTAAGTTGAGTAAGACTCCACGGTTATGTGTGATACAAGGACAGATAAATGGTATTACTGCTTTGGTATTTTAAACTTGAACCCAATATATCTACCATTAGTTTCAACAAATAAACTATTCAGAAGGAAAATGATCGGATGGATCAGTTTATACTTCTATATATGGTTGATATAGTTGTAGAACCAAAGTTCTCAGTAAGATATGTTGAATTTGTTTATTTATACTTGAAAAAATAATAATTATAATATTATTGTATATAATATTTAAATAAATTAAAATAAAAAAAAAAAGAACTCGTTATTTTCATATTCAAACAAAAAAACGTTAAATGCAGACAGCTTGAGGTAAGTTTCTTTTATCTCTTATAGACAACAGTCTACAGGTATATTATATAAATTTAGGTAATATAGTTATACATTTTTTACAATTTTAGTCATTGTCACATTCAGGTAAGCCCGAAACAGTTACTTCCGTCACAGCAGCTACAAAAATTGCACCTTACAAAATCTATAATACTGGCGAGCAGATTTCTCTAGATATTTTGGGAAAAGAAAATAGGTCCATATTAACCAGCATTTTGTGTAGGTATATCCCAATAAAATTATATTAAAAATATGTAATAAACAATTATATTTAAATTCGAATAAAACTGAAGTAGAAAATTATGAAGCCATTTTAAAATTAAATATAGATCCATTAACGAAATTTGGCGTTTAAAATATGTAGTTTCTGTACAATATTCAGTTGGATTAAGTTCAGTGAAAAAACAGATACTTTTTCTGTTTTAGTTGTCGCCATTTCCCAACTAATACACACAATAATAATTATTTATGATATTATAACTAATGAAATGTAAACATTAAATTTTAAATTTTATATATGTATTATGATTACCAGTTAGTAGTGCCAACCGTCACTGAAAATGTGTATTTACAACTATCATTTAGCTTAAGTGACATATGTCAATATATTATATCAAGTTTTGAAAAAATTTCTTATTGAAACAGGAAAAACGGGAAATGTCCACACTCAGTTATTTACAGCGTACATAGATTTTATAGAACAAAATAGAAATTACTTAAAAATGACAATCATTCTTTTTAATTTATTTAGCCAACATGGTTCTTTGTAGCCATGATGAATCGGAACATTCTAATAATTAAGAATATTTCTAATATTTCTAATGATAAATCTAATATAATATAATACGTTATTTTTCTATAGTTACCTATTTAATTTGTAGTTTTTACATTATAATACATTATATTTTCTAAAATTAACTTTATTAGGTACTTACCAACTTTAGTATACATTTTTTGATTTATGTAAATGTATTTTGTTGAACCTAAATTAATCGTATACCTATAGGCAAAGTTGTGAAAAATCGTATTTAGATAATTATTCGAACATTTTTTTTTTATAATTATACGAATAAAAATGTGTTCAAATAATTTTCGATTAAACTTGTTCGAATAATTTCCAAAGTTTAGGTACTAATGAAAAATATATATTATAGAATGATTATAATTCTTCTAGTAAGTCTACGTGTGTATAGTAATAATAACCAATATTAAGTAGTCAATAATTCAACACAGTAAAATACAAGGTTTATATAATTTGAACAAATAATTATATGTTTATGTTGTAAACGTACTGAACCTAAAACCTTTTTTGTATAAAATATTATAATTGATTTAAATATAAAGTTTATTTTATTTTATTAATAAAAATGGTGCTTTGGGTGTGTGAGGTTTTCTCCAAAATGTGTTTGGTGCTCAAGCCCTACCAATATTTTTGGCTGATTTGCGTGTATGAGTATTAGAACATTGATGAAATAAATATTTGATTTATCCACTACAATTTCCAATATATCTACGTAAGTATGTAATTTAATTTCTATAGCTATAAATATTATATTATTACTTATTTCGTGCATACACACTACAACAACTAGCTGTTATCGTATCCGTAATGTGACATAATATTTAATATTCAAGTTAATAATTATATTAAAGTTGTTAATTTAACCGAATATCGTTTTTTATAGGTAAAGTATATACAATATTAATGCACACACGGGTAGTCTATTTTATCTTAGAAACCGAAGTGCATTCAATTGGTTCGCAACGATAACGTTATGGGTGTAAAAGTATAAATTATTTTAGGTACATACATTTTAGGTTTCCAGTTCACTTGATGCGAGTGCAACAATATTGTTGTTGTATCATATTATACGGGCTGCAGATAGTGTCACGAAAATACACGGTTTAATGTATCTGTATATATTGTGTTCCATGCGTATATATCCGCGTGCGTGTACCGTTTGATTTTATACCAAATCGAGTCTAATAACTAAACCTAAGTGCATTTGAGAATGACACAACGGGGAATTCAAAGAAAAGTAATTTTGGATAACTAATGGGTCCAAATAATGTCGTTAATTCATTGTATGTTATATATCGTTTGCCAGGGAGGCGTGGCCGGCATATCCTCCCCCGAATGGCCAAAAGCCATTAAACTTTAACGCTTCAAAACCAACAATGAAATCCCATTGCCTGCAGTTTTGAAATAGTGTACAGATAGCAAACGTCTTGTAATATTTCGAGGAAAAAAATATACGTAAACTGCGCAATTTAAAGTAACCTTATAATATGAAATTATGGATACACAAATCGCGTTTTAACAATTCAATGTGTTTTTGATACGATAAATTAATATTTTATTATTATTTCTGATGTAATTATATACAATTAATGTTCGATATTACTTAATTATTTTAAAATTTGATAGTTACCCAAGTTCGGTAAGAACTGACAACAAACACGATTTTATTCGAGTATCATTCAAATATACATAGGTATATTGTTTATATCTATTACTTATTTTTATATACGGTTTAGAAGTATATTATGGTTCTATGTAATGATGGGAAATATTCGAATAATTCCCATCACTATTTCTATGTTTTGGTAATTTTTTTTTCATTTCGATTAGTTCTTAACAAGAAAATAAACTTGATCAGATATTGTCAATTAATTATTATTCATCCAACAACTTTTTTATAATAAACATGTGTAAATTGTGATGTTAGCCGTTAGAACCATAGATAATACATAATTATGTAATATTATATAATATATTAATAAAATAATATATAAAAATAATATATAATAATAATATAATAATATATATTTATATAAATATAAATATAATTATATAATAATATATATATAAAATAATATATAAATAATATATATTATATATTATATAATAATTAAATATTATTAATATTAAAATACATTATGTATTATCTATGGTTAGGACGATGAAAATGTTTTATTTTCTTGTATTTTTAATGCTCGCTCAATATGTATTTTTCCGTCAGTGTAACGCGTGCAACTATATGGGCACCCCAATGGTCCATTAGTAAAAAGCTAGGAATGGGCAAATGTAAAATTAACAAAAGCTTGCCGGATGCAGGTTTTAGATGAGATTGCTGGGCTACTGGGGTGAATGCTTTCAGAACTCTGCAGTTATTAACTAAGAGCGTATTATAATAAATCATTTACTTAGATCAAAAAACTCTTACAGAACAGAAGTTGAAGCAATTTTTATATCAGCTGATTGAACTAGTGGACTGTTTTTATTAGTTGGCTTATGAAATATTTTGAAGAAATAAAATATAGTATACTATGTATACATGATATATATATATATATACCAGTGTATATGCACTGTCATGTGAGTTAAATTTCAAATTTATAGATGAAGTTGTTATCATGTGACGATTTTTGGAGCTATCAGGCTATCGATATAAGTGCAAGGAAAAATAATATACTCATGGTTTTCATTAGAATAAATCCGTTTATCTAAATCAATCTTATTTAGACAATCACCATATTCAAGAAATGATATACATGTGAAAGATAAAATTACTTATTTATGGTTATCGCCATTATACTTTTGAGTACCTTTAAAATTAGGAAGTTAATAATTACTAAATACCTAATTTTTTTTTTACAGATAGCATATTGTGTATTTAATAATAAAATAATAAAAAGTTAAATAAAATTAAAAATAAGTAATCAACTGTTTAATTTAGAATAAACTCGTAAATTAATATATAAATAAATAAACAAATAGTTTGTTTATATAAATATTTAAATAAATAAATAAATGTAATAATAATAATATAATATAATAATATTCCAGACTCAATATTTATTTATTTATATACGTATATTTATTATTAAAAAAAAAGACATTAGATCATGAAAAGTGTTGTTTTTTTAATTGTATAAACATTTCATTTTTAATATTGTGAGTTGAGACCACAACCCGAAAAAAATTAATATATACTCAGTGCTTGACTTGAGAAGGGGATGCAGGGGGATGGAATACCCAATCTAATGTTCAGAAATTTTAGCGTCCCCTTACTATTATTCAGTTATTATTATAACGCTAAACAAGTCTTGGGAACGCTATTTTTCTTTAAAGTAAACAGAGTCCCCCTTCTTTAATTATGCCAAGTTGAGCATTATCTATACCATATTATGTACTTGAGTTTCAGTATTATTATTTAACATTTTATTGATATAGTGATAATAGTGACTTCAAGTAAATTATTTTGAAAACTTATTCAATATTCGAAAACGGTAAAATTGCATTCAAATCGTCCACACAAAACTTTTTAAAACGTTAATGTGCAATATTCTCATAAAAAGTATACGTTATTGTAAATATTCAATATGTATATGTTATAGTTAAAGTATTGAATCAGTTAGTTTATAAAATAACTAAGACGTATAGGTAATGTAAGTATATAATTTATACTTTAATTAGTTATTTTATACATTCCCTTGCATCACTTCTTTAATGTGTCAAATTGATATTCATAAATATACAATATCGTTATTTAACTGTCCATCATAGCAATAAATTAGATAAAACTGCCGTTCTTGTTGTCAGTGACTGCAGTATTCATGTACGTTTATCGTGTAGATAAAATTATTGTTGTGCATGTATAATTATTAAGATTGTCAATAAAATCGATAAGATTTAAAGTTGAATAGGTAATAGTCTTACAGTCACACGTGTTCAGTGTTGGTCCGTCTGTATCTACAATAGCCTTGCATGTACAAATAACTGGCCCTACCAGTGACCTTACCACTGACTTGACATTAGACAATAATGTAGTCATTTTTCATAAACAGAAAATATTAAATAATGGTATTTATCTTTTGTTGAAATCTCATTTTTGGTGGCCCTACCTTATAATTGTTGGCCTCCCGTTGGTCCTACCTAGCAAAAAATCCTGGCGCCGCCATTGCTTCGCTTCCTTACGAAACATTCGAAACACGTTTATGAGCGAATAAAATGATATTAATTTATTATTACCATACCAGCAAGAATAATTTATATATATACAAGAATAAATTAGACTTACATATTCTAACTTCTAACATTCAGTCATGATCATTTAAAAGTATAATACATAATATATTTTAAAGTTAAAAAATTTGATTATTTTCTCGTTGAATCCAACGCACAGTGATCGAAAATTCAATTTTAGACGGATTTTAAATGGAAAAGTAGTAGGATAAAAATAATATATATTTCACTTAATATTATATCTGTTACACTATATAGATTATAATCTATTAGCTTTTAGGATGCTAAAGCAGCGATAGTCACTTTAAAAAAACGATAAGTGTAGAAATATTAGAGACAAAATGTATAATATACGGTTGATTGAAAGAATATAAATTAATTTTTTCGCCGGCTGTGTTCAAAGTATCTTTACAATTTATCAAGAGTCAAACCAGTAATTATTATTTAAGAATGGACTTAAATTCAAGTGGTAAGTAAAGTTTAAATTCATACGTCATATTCCGCTTTTAAATACGTACTGTATAGGTATATATTGCATTACTATTTAAAACCTTCATTAATGATTTTTTTAAATTGGATAGAAATTATATAAAAAGCTATCTAAAATTATCATATAAATAAATATAGGTCTTATACCATAACTTCTTACCTTTTCTATGACATAATTTCAATTTGCTTCAAGTTCCGTCCGTAATTAACATAATGGATTTCCCTAAACATTTTGGTGGTTTAATGGTTATTATTGCTACATTTCAGTTGGCAATAAAGTTATCCAAATTGTGTACAATGATTTGTTCTTATGCTTAAGGAAAAAAAAGCCCCTGGTTCTAAGAACTGTGGAGTCCAATTGACATTTAATTCAATATATCAAAAATATATATAAAGATGATGATTGGGAATAGACATATGAAAATTTAGTTTCACAATACATTTCCAATTTCACAGCCGTTTTAAGCAAATTTTGGATAAAAAGCTCACGGAATGTGGACAGATTTAGTGAATCCAACATTAATTGGCTAAAAAACAATATTTGTTATGCCACCAATAATACCATTGAATAATACCACACTACCTTCACTGCCATCAACATCAAATTTCGGCAGACCTCAAAAATTGTTTTCCGATTGTTCTGATAGAAGTAAAAAAACGTAAAGTTCTACGACTTACTAAATCTTATACTTCTCCAGGAATTTTATTTGCCTCTAAAACTAAATTATATAAGTCTGGAAAACGAGCGGTTTGTAGTATAGTAAATGAATCGTTATCCTCTCCAACTCGAGCCTCAACAATTAAAAAAACATACATATCATCACTATCAATTGACAATGCCATCATGCCATATTCTTTTGACGAGGCCTTAGCATTTCTCATAGATAATAAATTAACGAAACCACAATTTATCAATATTCGTAAATCAGCTAAGAAACGTATAGGAAATATTTACCCGAGATACTATAATGTTTTAACGGAAATGGGATTTTTCGGCGCGGCCGTTTCGCGATGCCGATTTGACGATAAAGAAAAAGTAAATGCATGAATTTATTAATTTTTATGTTTTTATACATGACTAGAAATAAGTATCTTATCTAAACCTAACCTTACCGACTATAATGTATAATATATATATATATATATTGTCGTATGCTACACATTTAATACTATTATATACGAGTACAGTAATATACAGTTAATCTAGATAAGGATCACCGACACAGCGAATTAAATTATAACACCTTTTTTTTACCTACACGCAAGGCCGGATTGGACAAATTCGGCCCACCGAGTTTTCTGTATGTTACCGGTCCACTTACTAACTGGCGGCCCTTGTCCAAATTTTTTTAATCGTATATTTCAATAGGTGCATTAATCTTAAACTTTAAACAATTAATATTTTTTGTTAGCGACCTTTCACAATTTAAAAGGCCAAAAATTGTCGCGACCCACCAAGTTTTGTTCGGTAACTCGCCAGGCCAATCCGGCCCTGCATACACGCAGGGCCTCCACATACAATTTCGGGCACCTATACTAAATGTTTTTTCGGACCCTTTATAAAATTTCCAAAAATACAATTTACTATTTATATATATAACAATTTTAAGAATAATATTTGTTTTTTCATTATACCGATTCAAATCCAAGATTCATAAGCATTTTAACATTAATAATGTCTATTTCATTTTTTTTTTATTACAATATTATTTAAATTAAAAAAGAAAAAACCAAGCATATTTTATATTTTTTATATATATATATATATATATATTTAATATTATATATAATACTAATATAACATATATAATTTATATATTTTTTATATAGTATATTTTATATTATAATTTTTTTTAAGTTAAAATTTTGTTTTGCGGGTTTTGAGCTCAGTGAACTCAGTAATGATATCGTCATAATTGATTTTCAAAGCCAATCCATTCATTTCTAGATAATCATTAGTTAATCCGCATTTTGAACTATCAAAATAACTAAGTATATATATATATATATATAAAATGTTATTTTACAATATTATTTAATGTAAAATAAGTATTTCTTCTAAAATTTCAAAAATTACAAATAAATGTCAACAGGCCCACAACGCCGAAACGGCATCGCCGAAAATATCTATCGCCGAAACGGCCGCGCCGAAAAGTCCTAGATCCTGTTTTAACGGCCAAAAAAAAAAAAAAATGCTATCAACCAAATATTCAAATTATAAAATATTCTTTTAAAATTAAATTGCAGCACCTTGTTAAGCACACTATCTAGAGAATATTTTCAATTTCGGATATATAAATCATAGATTTAACGGTGAATAATTTTGAAATATTATTTAATGGGAATATGATGGAAGCATTAGTCGATCTAGATATAAGCAAATTTTTCATGCATCTAATGACTTAGATGACTCCGGTATTTTTAGGTTTTCACTGGTTCCTTTACAGCTGAAATGTACAAAGATAGACAATTCTAGAAATGTAGTTTTATGAAGAAATCTCCGTCTTTCGTCAACCTGTTACTCTCATCCGTTAATTTTCGATTTTAAAAAGGAAACTATTGAGTCGACATTAAAAAAAGTAAATGCTGTCGAAGAAGAAATTAAGTTGTTGATTCTAACTCAAATTTTTAAAAATTACATTCAATTTCTAGTACAGAGCACATTAATGTTCACTATGATAGACGGAAAAGTAAGTTTCACAAACTTTTATTACAATTATTACTCACATTTTAGTTAAGTCTAGAATTATAGACATAGTATTGCAACCCACGAAAATTAACAAACGATTTTTAAACATATTTTAGGTTTAAAATTCAATAGATAGTTCATTAAGTCAAAAATGCTATATCTGTAAGTGTTCTCCAAAATATATAAATATTACCCTAGCAAAAAATGTAAGTGTACAACCTGAGTATTACAACTTTGGGCTGTAAACACTTCATGCGTATATACGAATTTTCGAATGTCTATTACACATTTTATATAGATTGGAGTTAAAAAAATAACAAGTTAGTATAATGACTAACGACTACAATGAGAAATGGCTATTTAGTATAAATGAAAAACATGCGTTTTATGACTTCCAAATGTGTTATTTGTGAATAGGTTCGGTCAGCTAAAGATAAAATTATTTATGCAAAAATAATAAAATGTATACAAGATCGATTTAGACAGAAACTAGTCTTTTTGGAGATATAGTTTTGAAAGGTACTATTTATTATGAGTACATTCAATTTTAGATTATAATTTTTAATATTAAATTTTGTTTTTTCATAATATAGACAAATGAACGACTAATCATAGTAATACTTCTCGTAGATTTTTCAAAAACGTGAAAATAAGTGCTGATATAAAAAATTAAGAGTTACAACTTATACAACGATTTGGGATGATTTTAAAAACAAATGGCAAGTGATTATTGATATATATATATATATCAATATATCGAAATAGTGGACCATTATCTGAAATTTGCCAATTTACCATGGGATAAATGTATTGGAGTATGTACCGACTGCGCTCCCGTGATGACTGGCTCAGTCAAAGGCTTTATTTCTTTTGCCAAGAAAAAAAATGAAAATATTATTTTTACTCATTGTTTTCTACATCGAGAAGCCCTTGTGACAAAATCATTGGTAGGTGATTTAAAGTAAGTTTTTGATCAAGTTGTAAAAGTGATAAATTATATTAAAAATAGTCCACTAAAGTCAAAGTTATTTAAAAAAATGTGTGAAGGTATGGATTCAGATAACTCAAAATTACTTTTTCACAGTACAATAAGATAGTTATCAAGAGGCCGGGTAATATCACGTTCTTATGATTTGAGTGAAGAAATATAATAATTGTATTTTTAACAATAGAAGAATCGAAATATGAGTTTCTTGGAGATGAAAAGTGGTGGACAAAAGTTTCTTTTTTAACTGATATTTTTGAACTTTTGAATAAATAAAGTACAAGCATGCAAGGCCGTAACGAAAATATTCTAATATCATCAGACAAAATTATGGCTTTTAATGAAAAATTAACTCTGTGGAAAACTCAAGTTGACCAAAATATATTAACTATGTTCCCACGAACTGCAGAGCGAGATGTAGACAGACGCCAGTCTCATATCGTTAATTAGCGAATCTATGATGTTACTGAAAGACAAATTGACGAAATACTTTCCCAACTTCTTTTGCGTTATGATAGTGAAAAACAAAATTTTTTTAAATATTATTGTTATCAAAAATGAATCTTTGGTACATAATTATGACCCAGAAACAAAAGACAGTCAATGGAGTTTCGTCATAAGACTTCACCATGTTCATAGAAGTTTAAAGTTCAAGCGTCAGCTGGGAAAGTCATGTTGAGCCTTTGAAGCCTTTGAAGCCTTTGAAGCCTTTGAAACTAGAATTTATTTTATAAATTAATAAATTAGAGTAAAATAAAATTCAATATTATTTACCTTACATGGAGTAACCAACAAAAAGTTGCAACAGCACTAAAGAAAATTTTGATATCCCCCTCCTCAAGAAAATCCTTTATACGCCCATGATATAACTGGCCGACTGAAAATGATATTGTTGTTGATGGTGATGAATATAGATGCAATTCCGGACTTCGGCAGCGACGGAAGTGATCGCGGAAAAAAATGTTGTGGAAGTAGTGTAGGCTAGTGTAGATCCTGTACCGATAACATGCATTCGTGATTATAATAATAAGTATAAAAACACATCAATAACAATTGAATTTTGGATCCATGTGAATAGCTATATGAACATCTTTCTTATTAAGAGGCATCTGTACATGTGACCAATACAACCGCACTAAAACGATATTTAATATAAATATTATTCAGCTTAAAATCTGTTCATCGATTAGTATATAAATGTTTACGTGTGTGTGTGTGTGTGTGTGTGTGTGTGTGTGTGTGTGTGTGTGTGTATGTGTGTATCAAATATATATCATGTGCTCGGACATTAGTCCAAAAGAACGTTCATAAAACAAAAAATTTAACGTTTAGAAACGCCCTGTCAATGTCCCTTGGTGTTCGTAAACGTAAATTATCCCTTTGGGTAATCATTTTCTTACCACCGTCACTCTTTGAAGTCAATAGCAACCAAATGCTCTTCTGGACCTACGCATGTCTATGCGGATCGAGGGAGCAGGGAGGGAGGTATAATATCCATCGGTCGCGAAAAGAGATATCGCGGACACTCCCATTTTCAATTCTTACACACTTACGCACGTGTCAAAACCTAATGGTTTCGGATCGTTGATCGGAGTCCGTTACGGCATCGTTGCTGCACCGCATCAGACCCGACCTCTAATTGAGAGGGTGAGCAGAGCGCCTGAGCCTTGGGCTTAGTGTTTGAAAAAGATCCATAGATAATGCTAGTTGTAAGTTACAACATGCAATGATTATTACGGTCATACAGAGTTATGTCTCAAAATTATGAGCCGTAAGCAATATTATTTCGGAATAACACTTGAAACATAGAATGGACGTTATGATTTAACTTAGATTTCCATCGAATGCACTTAAGACTCGGCTCGTAGATCGCATTGTTATTATTGGTATTATTTTTACATAAGATATTTTTAAACCATTAGCAAGAGTAAGATTATCATAACTAAAAAATTTTCGGCGGAACACGTTAACATGATGACATTGTTATCTTATGTTAAGTATACCAACCAATATATTATATTTTTCTCTGGTATTGAACTCCATTTAATCATGAAATGTCTAAATACAATACATATTTATATTGGCATAGCTATAATATCAGGCACTTATTTTAATATATTGGTTCTGTCGTAACATTAAATTATTTAAAATAAATGCTAATTGTTCATTTTAATGACCTTTTTTTCATTTTTGCTTTCTTTACTATGGCCCGCCAGATGTTAAAGTTTCAAAAATTGGCCCTCTAATTACTTTGAGTTGCCCATTCCTGACTAATAAAATATAACCAGAGATGTTTTTAGGGAACGTGAGACCTCAGAGCCTAATATATACATCGGGGGTCTTTAAAGAAATAAATTATGATACATACCTGGATACGCAAATTTTTTTTAAAACAAATTAATATTTTTAGTTATTAATAAACTTAATAACTTTATCAGTGAAAAGTAAATTATTGTTTGAATCTGATACTTAAAACTATATTGTTTGTTATAATTTTAAAAAATGTACTTTCATACAACGAATATTCATTTATCTAAATTGTATACAATCCATTTTTACATTCAAAATTTATCACGATTTATTTATCCCCTATCCACTCATGTCATATGCGGACGGAAATATAAGTTTTTCTTTTCAATGATAAAACCAAGGGTGTATTAGAGGGGGCCGAAGGAGGCATTCTCCTCCATTATGTCTCGTATTTTTTTTTGGAATATAATACATTGATTTATTTAAAAAAATGTATTGTATAAATAATTAAGAATATAAATTACTAGTCTATCATTATAATATGATTATAAATTCAATAATATGTCAATTTGATCATGGGTATCAATTTTTGTTTATCTTTTTATATCATAACATTTTTTGTTGTAGAACAAATAGTGTTATTATCTTCCATGTGTTAAGAACCTCTTCTTGTTATAAAGTATTACTTATTAGTTAGTAAGTACATAAATGCTGAGTCGCATTTTCATCGACAGCCATCGCCATCGGTCTGCCGATGTAACTATTATTCCTATGATTATTTGTTGTTTTTTTTTTATACAGGATTCAGACTGAAAGTATAATTTTAATATAAGAACTATTTGTGTTGTTATTATTAATATTTATTTTATATGCAGTGGGTTTTTAATGTATTTATTAAATAAATATTTAATTCAATTTGGCACTTGTATTTTTATACAATTAAAAAAAAAAAAAATGAATGAATGAGCAACATGAACAAGAGCTGTAGGTAATGAACCAGTGGCGTATTCAGTAATTTTTTAGGGGGGTATCAACATTTTTATTTTATCTGTTCTCTAATTATAATTATAGTTTAATTCAATACCAACAAATTACTGTTAATAACTATAGTAATAGTCACAATAGTTATATACACATCACACATATTCTACACAAAGGTTTACTATAATAGGTAGGTACTATAATTTGAAATCAATTTTTATTTGGTAGTAAATATTAAAAAATCAGTATAAATTAAACATAGTTTATACATTTTAGATTTATTATATAATCTGTTAACTTTGTATATTGAAGATGATGGAAAATTAAAATACACTATATACCAGGGATGACGAACCTTTTCAGGTTCAAGTGCCAAATTTTTCCTTTTCAGGTTTTGAAAATCGTTTACTTGCCCAAAGAAAATTATATTTTTTTAGACTGTAAACAAAATTACAGATTTATTACATTATTTTTATTAAATTTTAGTCATTCTTAATGAAACACAAGCAGCAATTGTTTCGTTGGTCAAAACCTTTTTTTCCTTCGATTTAATTACATTTTTTACAGCGAATAAGCTTTCACGAACATAGGTTGACGAAAAATATGAAAGCATAAGGAATATTTTCATTTTTAAAACATATATAATTTGTTTATTTGAATTTCTTACAATCAACATTTTATAAATAGTAAAAATTTTTTTTTGTACAATTTCAATTTTTTGTTCGTGCCATTAAGATTTGGTTAACATGCCATTTTTGGCATGCGTGTGATAGGTTTGCCCCCCTGCTGTATACTATTTACTATTAAACCATTGAGTATGTAGAAATTTCAATGGGGTTCCAGATCCGAAACTCCTCCTTCATGTGTACGTCCCAGTAATGAACTGTAAATTATTTTTAAGTTTGTATTGAAGAAAAATTAGTTTCGCTCCCCTCCCCCTCCATAACCTCAACTCAAATACGTTCTTGGATAAAACTGCGTTATTTTTATAAAAAACTAATTTAAATATTTTGCATTTGAATAAAAAGAAAAAAACATAAAATTATAATTTCAGGTAAATTTAATGTAATGTTTTTAAATTTGGGGTCCATCAAATCCCGAAGCCTCCTACCTAGGTCCTACGGGCCTATGCCTTCGGACAGCATTGAATGTAACTAACTAACTGTTATATGTTTAACAAAGTCTGTACCATAGACAAGGTCGAATTTTAATCGACACGTTTATTCGATCGATTGAATATAGCATAGACGATCGATGGGAAAAATCGTCTATATCGAATTATATAAAAATAATACACCTCAAGTTTCACTGTTCAATACTGCAAATGATTAGACGATTACTTAAGAGTGTACATTGAACAAAAAAATATGAAGATTACAATATAATATAAAATTTTTATGGTACAATATTTTCGCTTTTGGTCGACAATTATGATAAACAGATCATATGGAAAAACATCATCGATACCACCGACATAAATATATAATAAAATGTTTTCGTATGACTACTTGTTAAAAATATCACTCTCGAAATCATAATATTGTGCAGGTACACATTTCGACGGTCACAATCCGATCGACCATATTCATAAATCGAATTAATCAAATCAGATCGACTCAGTTATTAGTAATAATATAACAAAAACATCGATCATTTAATATAATTAAACGCCTATGTAAATTAAATATATGTACCTACTAAATATAATGAAATACCCGTCTTCCATATAAATGCGAATACCACATATAGGAAGCACTAATATACTACAAATGTTTATAAATACAGTGGCGTATTTTCCGGGGAATTCCCGAGTTTCGCTACCTCCAGAAGAAAAAAAAAAAAAGTTCAAAAATCATAAGTGACTTGCTACAAAGGTACAGAGAAAAATAATATTGGTTCATATAATGCGGTTGTAAATAAGTCTTCGTTTGTATTTATAGTAACAGTAGGATAATATAATTATTATTTCATACCTTAAATATATTTTATATTATAAAATCATTTATTTTTTTTAGAAAAACTTAACCTCCTCCCCACAAAAAATTTGGAAATAAGTTACTGTACGTGTTAATCGAGAAATCCAAATAAGTGTACGATAAGCGTACAATATTGTATACGTACCACGTATACACGAATAATGTGTCTATCGGTAGCGTTGACGATTGAACCGTTGTCAAAATATTCGACAACGACGTACATTTGTCCGTACCTACGTCGTTGAATCATTGCACAACAAAAACGATAAGCAGTTATAAACGACCAACATCGTATCGGACTTTGAATCGCGGCGTGCCAATTATAAATTATATCTTATAACAGGCACATTAACGTTTGTTCATTTCCTGGTTAGACCGCCGCCGCGGCCCGCTACTCACCAACTTCGCGGACAGCCATTTGGTATGCCGTATTGCAGTGGAAACGGGGAGAGAGCGATCCGCGTCGTTATCAATACGAACAACTATTTCCATACGTTCCGTTGCTTTAACGCGAGTGATAACGGCCGTTCGCCATCTCTGTCGCTCCCCTCTCCCTCTTATAATACTTGCTCGTTCTCGCACTCGTTCACGCTCTTTCTCGCTCTCTCTCTCTCTTTCTCGTTCCGCATTCAAGTTGTTATCGTACTGTCCGCGTACGATTTTTCTTCCCTTCAGGTTGTTCATTCGTTCGTCTCGTTTGACATTGCCAGCTCCGTCAGCAGTCTTTAGACAGGGTTTTTCGGCCGTATTATATTTCGCTCCGCCGTCGTCCGTCACCGATCACTGTTCCGCACAATATGGCGTTGTGCAGACTAGTGGGCATTTCCAACGAAATGTCGCTGAACAACATCAGGCGAGCCCTGACAACAGGTATTCGTCGCAATGTCCCCCGATGCATATCTAATAAGTTAAAATAATAATAGTAATGCTAATATTAATTGAAATGTATAACAGTAATAATGGTTAGAAACACAAAAGCTGCATGTGACGGTCCGAAAAATTAACGCTTCGGATTGATAGGAATCCTGATATATCATTCGGTTATCACAGTCGTTTTGTATGGAGAAAAAATATGAAATGCAAACGGTTTTGTTGTATATGTAGCAAATAATTTTGATGTGCTGCTACAGGTTATGTAATCAGCCCCGATAGCCTTTGTGCAAGATTTTATAATATTCCCATCTAACCTTGATTTATAAAACCTGAAATAATGTCATGTCTGACAAGAAAATCAGCATGTTTGTTACACACATCTCAACGATACAACTCATGGACTTTATATTTTATGGGTCGTTGATCAGCTCATTTTTGGTATCTTGGTATCATAATACAATAATAATCATATTTTCTTTTTCTGTAGTTATGTCATTAATATATAATCAATATTTCAAAATAAGATCTAGGTAGTTCATTACTGATTTTATAGTATTTTAGTTGGCTTACATATTAATAGATTTTAAGTTATAATCAAATTAAATTTTATTAATATTGGAGCCCTGAAATAATTTTGAATACAGAGTTGACAAATTATATTGTGAAATATTAAATTTTAATTTTAAATTCATATTACGTATTAATGTTTTTAATATTTATCGATTGTCTAAAATTTATTTATAACTTCAAAGTAATTTAACATTCCAGTCAACTATTTTATCAACCTTTTAATCTAATCTAATATTTGATCAAAACAAGAGTAAATTTAAAAGTTTTAATTATATTTCATTAATAATGAATCATTATACTTACAGTATAAAATAATTTTTGGTAGAAGTTGATACTTTTAATATCGTAATATTTTGAAACTATATATTTGTAGTATATTTAGTCCGAAATCACATTGTACATGTTCAATAAATAATTATGTACAGCTGTCAAATGTTTTCCTGTTTTAAATCAGTTCCTAATGTATTTTTACTATTAGTCTGTATTATCAATACTTAATTTAAAAAATTGATCAAAATTACTTCATATGTTTAATTTTAAATAATTAGTGACATAATTTAGTTCTTTTGATTGTCAAGTAATTTTTAAAATATAGGTCATCTAAAAATGTTCATTCAGTTACAGTTTTAACTTCCTGGTTGTATTTAAAAAAAGTCCTTGAAAGTAGTTTAATAATCAATTCTTTAACCAATCTATTTGAGATTATGATTATTTATAAAAAGTATTCAAACATTTAGGTTATTAATTACAATTACTTTTAGTTTGATAAGATCTACTTAAAATATAAACTTTTTAACACCCCTGTTCTTGTCTCTCCAAACTTAAATAAAATCTCCAAAATAGAGTTGATTTTATTATAATACTTACATTTCTATAATATTATTAATATTTTTGTGTTATAAAACTTGAATTATTATTACTTAATGATTTATTTATTTTAATATACATATAATAGGTATCAAATTGTTTTTTATCAATATCATAAAATAAGTAGATTTTCAAAATTCTACTATACAATTTATAGTTTTGGTTAATATGATATTTAAGTTCAATCTAAGAAGACTTGAGTTAAAACTAAAAAAAAATTTTAATGAGGTAATAAAGTTTGAAAATAATAATAGTTAACCTTCATTTAAAATTATTTGATGCAATGACTTTCAAGTTTCTTTAAAATTTAGCAATAATACATTTAAAACAATTAAATAATACTGCAGATAAATAACCTTCGAAATGTTTATTAATTGTTGACATTTTTCAGCTACCAAAAAAAAAAAAATATAATCAATTTTATAGCATAAAAATTATACTATATTTTTCATAAAAATGATTTGCATTTTATTATGATTTAGATTATTAATTAATTAAATGATTTTTCAACCCTAATATGTCTACAACTCCTATCCTCCAATCAAATTGATTGCTCTTTTAATTATATGAATAATTATTTCATTAGTTTTACTATACATTTGTTTCGTTAAATTTTTTTGTATTATATAAGCTACCTTAATTTTTATAATACTTCTTATTACATTAACTTATAACATTAAAATAAGCTCTTTCTTTATTTTCTAAAATGTGTAATTATTTAGTGAAATCTTTTGATCTTAGGTATCTTTAATGTTCATATAATTATATCAAGGTACTGATATTTAAATATAAATTCATTTTAATTTTTTCAATACTGTTCAAAAAATTTAAAAAAATAATTATCAATGTTTGATAATGATTATTATTATTATAATTTATCATTGTTTAATTTATATTTTTAGAAATTAAATTAAGTTTTTATGAAAATTAAGATGATGCCTATAATATAGGCATAATTTTAAATTTTTTAATAATATTTATGGTTTCTATTATTTATGTTGAGCCCTTTAAAAATATTATTCAGTTTTTACTATAAATAAGAAATGAGAAATAAAATAAATAATAAAGATTATAATTGTTATTTATAATATAATAATTCATTTTCTACTAATACCATAAATTAAAAAATATTATTTTAATATGTTTTTTCAGGTCATCGATTATTGAGCCAAGATTTACACACTTCATCTAAAGTTGTTGATAATATTTTAGTTATTACCTTAAATACTCCAAATTCAAAAGTAAATAAATAAATAATATAATTATATACTATTTAATGTAACTAAATATTATTTTTTTAGGTAAATTCTTTATCTCGAGATGTAATGAATGAGTTACAAACTAATTTAGATAAAGCCAGTCAAGATTCAACAATTAATGGAAGTGTAATCATATCGGGTAAACCCAACTGTTTTATTGCTGGAGCTGATATATCTATGTTGCAAGCATGCAAGACAGCTGAAGAAGTTCATAAAATATCTCAGGATGGTCAAAAAATGCTTAATCAAGTTGAAAAATCAAGCAAACCTGTTGTTGCAGCTATTATGGGATCTTGTTTAGGAGGTGGTCTTGAAGTAAGAATGTTATGAGTTTTCAATTATTTAAGTGTAATTTCTTTTAAAATATAGATTCTAAGTATCTAAATACTTTTAAACTTTATGTTTGGTTGCTGAGTAATGTATATATGTACATTACTACATACGGTACTAATGTATATAAACTACTTTATAAATGAATCACATGAATACACAGTTGTAAGATTTGACTAACTAGGCTTGAAGCATCACATTAGTTTTGATGAAAAAAACCCCATGAAATTAATACCGTACTTGAAGAATGGATGACAGGGCATTAGGTAGATTTAGATTTCCCATGATTGTTTTTTTTACTTAGACTCAGCACATATTAGACTGATACAATATGACCCAGAAGTGTCCATGCACCTGATGTATAAACAGTAACCATATATACATTTTCGCTAGCATCTGAAAATCAATGATTTTCCTACTAGCTATTGTTTAAATCACCTGTTATTTTACGTTGTACATATGTATATTGTTCAATTGTGTCATAAACTCGTGATATTTAATCCATACTTCTTGTACGATAATTGATATGGCTTAATCCCAGTTAATTTTTTCTCGCCTCAAATTCTCTAATAATATTAAGCGTATGACTATTAGTCCCACTGGCCCCAGTGTGTCAAAAATTGACGCGATATCGGATAAAATATCACGCATACATAACATATTAGGTGCTAATTTCTATACTGAGGAAACCTTGTTAGATTAATGTATCTTAATGTGTCTGTGTCGACATTCCAAAATAGTCCTAGGATTTTCTTGACTGAACCATCTGTTTCAAAATCATTTGAAAGTCCATTGTCTTTCTCGGGTATTATTGATTTAACCAAATTTCTTTTCGTGACTACGTAAACATATCTTGCACAGACGAAGCTCAGAAGTCTTTTTTATACAAACATGGACTATGAATGTGAGACATATTATATAGTATTTAGTAAATTACACGCAATATTTTATTTCCAAAGTTATGGTGAATGACGTGCTATTTTTGACGAATTGATTGTCAACCCAATTTTTTCAATTCGTGTTTTTATGTTAGTATAAATTATTCGAAACCTTAATTATGTTTTTCACCGTTTCAAAAACTTCCAAAATATGGAACCATGAAGTTCGCATATCACATACCTATCGTCGCAATAACCTCGCGAGCTGCCACTTATTCATCCGGTATGAATGTAAAATGTACGCTCGAATTATTTTGTACACTTTTATGGAAGAACGTGAATTTATCTTAAGCGGACTGTAGATTTTTTTTAAATACACAATTACATATTGATTACAAGAAAAACAACGCAACACGAGTGACGATGACTAAGCTATACGAAAAAAACACCCTTCCCTGCTGCCTTCGTTGCAGTCTATCTAAGCCTGGCTGATTAGTTATAGTAAAAAGATATAGTAATACAATAAATAATAGTTCTCAACCAAACACTTTAATCAAATACTATAAATTAAAAATTAATAAAATCATTTGTAGTATTTGCTTTAGTTAATGTATTTTGAAAAATATTTATAATAATTTAATTCTCATTAAGGTTGCAATGGCTTGTCATTATCGCATTGCTGTAAAAAGTAAGAGTACAGCTCTTGGACTGCCTGAGGTTATGCTAGGATTATTACCTGGTGGTGGTGGTACACAACGTTTACCGAAATTGGTATCTATGCCTACTGTTTTAGATATGGCATTAACAGGTAAATCATATAGAGCTGATAAAGCTTTAAAAGTTGGTTTGGTTGATCAACTTGTAACACCACTTGGACCAGGCTTAACTACACCAACTGAAAGGTTAATTTATTATTCACAGAAATTAATTATATGTTAATAATTGTTATAATTATGATATTGATTTATTATAGAACATTAGAGTATTTAGAGGAAGTTGCTATTGATGCAGCCAAAAAATTAGTTGCCGGTCAAAAATTAACAAAAAGAAATAAAAATAAGACTTTACTAGATAGTGCAATTGACTTAGCGCTAAAACAAGAGTGGCTACGAGAAAAATTTTTTGATAGTGCCAAGGGCAAGGTTTTAAAAATGACCCGAGGTTTATATCCTGCTCCATTAAAAGTATTAATTTTAGTTTTTTATAAAAAAATATTTTTTATTTTTTTTTAAAAATTTTAATATCATAATTGGAGTTATAACTTTACTTAAATTAAGTTCTATATGTTAATGTTTTCAGATAATTGATGTAATAAAGACTGGAGTTGCTGAAGGTACTACTAAAGGTTATGCAACAGAAAGTAACGGTTTTGCTGAATTAGCTATGACACCACAAAGTAAAAGTCTAATTGGATTATTTCAAGCTCAAACTGAATGTAAGAAAAATAAATTTGGAGAGCCTAAAATTGCTTTGAAGTTAGTATATTAATAATTTAGTTAATTTTTAAAAATATATATATATATATATATTACAAATAATATTCTGTGTAATAACAATTTCAAGAGTGTATTTTGTTGTTTAAACTTATGAAAATAAAATGTAAACATTTTATACTTACCTAATAGAAATATTTAATTATTCTGGTAGGTATAGGAATTTGTTATCTAAGGTTTTTAGCTTGTTCTAATTTGTTACCCGGACCCAGTTATTTTATCAATATTAAATACTTTGTGTTAACAAAATGCATTACGCGAGTTGTTTCAATAATCTGATTTATAATATATTACTATATGGCCAATCTGTCCTTTGATATTTTGTTTCATTAACACAATTGTATCAATTATCTGTGTTTCTTAATGTTATTACTATTACAGCTGTATTTTTTTCTTTTTTTTTTAACTTTTCAGTTATAAATCTAATATTATAAATTTATTTTATAGGACTGTTGGTGTTCTTGGTGCTGGACTAATGGGTGCTGGAATAGCTCATGTATCTATCGATAAAGGTTATCATGTAGTACTTAAAGATACCAATAAAGAAGGTTTAGCTAGAGGAGTTGCACAAATTGAGAAAGGTTTAACAGGCGCAGTTAAACGAAAGAAATTGACAGAGTAATTTTTTTTTTGTATATATATTATATATATTAAGTTATAAACAAAAAGGTTAATTAGTTTTTTATCAAGAAAAAAATATTTATAATAATAATTTTTTACTGAAAACAACATTTTTAATTAATTGTGTCTTTTGGTTTCTATACTTTACAATTTGTATTATAGGATAGAAAAAAATAGGTATATATCTGATTTGACAAGTACTTTGTCATATGACTCTTTTTCAAATGCTGATATAATCATTGAAGCTGTATTTGAAAATATTAAGATTAAACATCAAGTAATTAAGGAAATTGAACAAGTTGTACCGAAGCACTGTATAATTGCTACTAATACTAGTGCTATACCAATTGGAAAAATATCAGAGGGTAGTAGCCGTCCAGAAAATGTAAGCTATTTCTAAATTTAAGTTTTGACAGTTTTTTGCAATTTACTAGATTATTGAAATTAATGCAATTTAAAAAATATATTTTTAATAATTATGTTTATAAAATTATAAATAACTTAATCTAATATCTTCTATAATTTATTATTATTTAGTTAAGATTGTTAAAAAATAATATGTACAATATATATTGTACATCATGGGGATAGGGAAAATATTTTTGTTAAAAAATAGAATGCATAAAATGCTGTTTATTTTTAGGTCATTGGAATGCATTATTTCTCTCCTGTTGACAAAATGCAACTCTTAGAAATTATAACAACTGATAAAACTTCTAAAGAAACTGCTGCTGCTGCAGTGTCTTTAGGTTTAAAACAAGGAAAAATTGTCATTGTTGTTAAGGATGGACCTGGATTCTACACAACACGTATCTTATGTGCTATGTTATCTGAAGCAATGCGACTATTGCAGGTATGTTAATCTAAGTCCATTAAGTTAATAAATTAACTGTTTTATAAAAATTAATTTTAATTATAGGAAGGCGTAAGCCCCAAACAATTAGATACAATTACTAAAAGTTTTGGATTCCCAGTTGGTGCTGCAACATTGTCTGATGAAGTTGGTATTGATGTTGGTTATCATATCGCCGCTGATTTAGCCAAAGCTTTTGGTGAACGATTCGGTGGTGGTGATATCAATGTTTTAAAAAGCATGGTAGACAGTGGTTTCTTAGGTAAGAGTTGCATTTATTTGCAATATTGTATAAAAAATTTATTTTACTATTTATTTTCAGGTCGGAAGTCTGGTAAAGGTTACTTTGAATATAGAGCTGGAACCAAAAGTAGGCCAGAAAATCCTGAAGCAATAAGTTTATTAGAAAAATATAAATTGGAACCAAAAGGTGATCAATCGGTTGAAAATCAACAGCTACGTATTGTGTCCAGATTTGTAAATGAAGCAGTGTTATGTTTACAAGATTCAATTCTTAACAGTCCGGTAAGCTTGGTTTATGTAGTATGATAATTAAATTTTCAACAATGATTAGTACATATGTTTGTGAAAACTTTATTTTAACTACTGTAATCTTATTAGTAGGGCTCGGAAGTTATTTTTTTTTTTGCACCATTGAATTTATTGCTAAGTGAGCTAGAAATTCATTTCTAATCACTATGAAAAACATCAAAAGTTTATAGTGCATATTTTTGCATATTTAGTGATTTTTTGATTTTAGAAGATTTTTTTTGAAGATTTAGTATAAAAATTTGAAAAATAAAAAAATAAAATACATTCATATTGAGAGAACTTTCTTGATATTCTTGTATCGTATTTTTAAAATTTCCATTTAAATACAGAATATAAAAATATCACTAGAGATATGATTATGCTATACTTAAATAGTTGCGAACCATGTAAAAGAAAAGGAAGCACAGCCAAGAAAAGATTGGTGGTGCAATCAATTATATCTACTGAGATGTATTAATCAATAATATAAATACATGTCATTATTCATTGATTTATCATATTTCATTAAATCATATCATCTGTTATCTATATTGCCCAAAATGCCCAAATTGTATACTTTGCCCGTAACATATATATTTATAAATTATTACTACAACTAGCTTTACTTAAAATTAAATATTATACAACTATCAAAATTCGATAATTGTCTTTGAATACTTTTCTTGGAAAATAACTCAATGATTATTAAACATTCTTCCAGAGGATTTTTTTTTATTCAAGAAACTAATTTATTATTATTTTGTTAATCAAAATTATTTTTAATACTTTGTTTTTTCTATATTTATAATTTTATAAAATATTTGTGCAAATAAAAATGTTGTGTACAAAAATAAAATATAAGTGCATATTTGTAATTTTTCAAGTGCATAATTGCATGCATATTTAATACTTTTTAAGTACATTAAGTTCCGAGCCCTACTTATTAGTAATAAGTTAAACTATATTATTGTCAATAGTGTTATTTATTATTTACGAAGAAAAAAATTTAAAAAATAAATTACACTATTGCCAGTAATATAGTTTACTATAACTTACTACTAATAATATTACAATAATTAAAATAAAAAAAATTATAATAAAACATTTGTTAAAAAAAGAGAAACTTTTATTGGTAGTTGAAATATTAATATTTAATTATTATTAAAAAGTATGTCAAATTTTTCTACGTTAAACACAAACTTAATTATAAAAGTAGAATTTAAATTAAATCTTGTTTAAATATCGATACTACTGATAATAATTTTCAATTTATTTTATATATTAAACACCTGTTTTTATATATTTTTTTTGCTGTCTAAAAAAACATAATACATTGACAAAATATATAAAACAATGAATCACTTATGTTTAATAAACAGCTGTTAAATCATATTTGAATTACTAATTTTTATTCATAATATCAAAATGAACTGCAATTTTAAATATGTATGGAAATACTTTTACAGACTGAAGGTGACATTGGTGCTGTATTCGGTCTTGGATTCCCACCATTTTCTGGTGGTCCATTCAGATGGGTCGACTGGTATGGAGCTGATAAATTAGTGGAAAAAATGCAATCATTCCAGGACAATTATGGTCTCCCATTTCAACCATGTCAATTATTGTTAGATCATGCAAAGGATAAATCAAAGAAATTTTATTCCTCTTAACCTATGAACAACATATTGTAAATTACAAAAGAATTAAAAATGGGTTCTTTTAAATTGATTTTTAACGGATAGCTTTATAAACAATATCACGCTAAGAGATCGAGTTTACTATACCGTTGCACCAAATTTTAAAAAAAAATATTTAAAATTAAGTTTTCAAGTTGGCCAAATAATTGTTTTACAAAATCATTTTAAACATTTATATCTAAAATACTGTGAGACAAGTAAAGTTCTATCATTATTATTGAAGTGAAAGTGTATGTTTTAGTTTATAAAAAAAATACATTTGGTGCAAAGAATACTCAAATTACGGTAATGTAATCTCGTTATTTTTTTAATTGTTGGTGATTCGATTGTGTTAAAATATCTTTATGATAATTATATATTTATTACTTTATCAATTCAATGTTTATTTTGTTTAATAAAATTGTAAAAAATTTCTTTTCAAATGATATACTAATATTTGAAAATATTTGTATTGTGATACTTAAATTTGAAATCTGAATAAAATGTTTTAAAATATTTTTCATTTATGAGGAGGTTGCTATATAGGAACTTATATATATATATATATATTTGTTTGTTTGTAGTTTGCAAAGACCTAATAAACATCGGCAGTTCTAAATACTATGTTATAAGAAAAAAAGTAAATCAAAAGAATACCACCTGCAATTAATCTAGAACGAAAAATTTAAAAAAAAAAGTTAATTTTTATTGCATAGCTATTTAAATAGTAAAATGGTTTTTTATTTTATACGTGTAACTACCACAAATAGTGATTATACTAGTGTTTCATCATTGGATGGTGATTAGTTTATTTATTTTTAAAAAAAAATTGGTGTTGAAAATTATAAATTACATAGAAATTCAATATGAAATCACTATTAGTATATTAGATAGCATAAACGTATTACAGATTTAAAATGATTTTAATTATTTTGGTTATTTTAACAAATTTTGACTGGTTTCTTGGATATTATTAGAAACGGGTTTAACTGTATATATATATATATCTGTGTGTATATATACGAGTGTGTCTTAAGTATATGTATACATAATAAAATTACCTTTTTTTTATTTAGATTCAGAGAAGTGATATCATTCTTTATGTTCAGGCATTGAGTTGGGTTCATTCAGGGACTCAATTTAACTGATATTATGCCTAAGTAGAACGCTTGAAATACTATAAATGTGAAAATATTTGATTCTTGTTGTTACATTTAAATAATAAGTAACACAATAATGTAAAAGTATTCAAAATTTTAGGATTGCATTCTAATTAAAATTGTTATAACATTTATATTATCTTATACTTAAAATCGACTTTGCAAATATTAATAAGATTTAATGGGAATCCATAAACTTCGGCCACTGGTAGATTTAGATTTAAAAAGTTTGGAATTAGAAAAATTTAACAATGTTTAAAAATAATAACAAACATAAAATAAAAAGTTAAATACATCGTGTACAATTGAATAAATATTTTATAGGAATATTTTAGAGGAATGCTTAAAGTAGTTTAATTGAAAAATGTTAAAACAATTTTTTTTCTTCGTTTTCATTACCTGTTGTCTCACGTTTAGGCGTGTAATCTACACTTGTAGACCGTTTTAATTAAAATTATTTCTAACACATTTTGAGAGTAGGAAAAAAATAATTTTAATGGAACCTAAAAATGTTGAGATTTCAGATTTTATGGCTATTCATTTATATTTTCAATCTTTTTTAGAACACCGTGAATCTTAAAGACAATTATAAAAATAAATAATTATACTAATAAATATATAATAATACTTACTATCACAAGTCTTTCTGACTTCTTTATCAATACTGGTTTATATTTTTTAATAGCTTGTTTTGAATAGTTCGTTGCCACGTACTTTTTATTATATAAATTTCTTTTATTTTACTTTCTTCTTCTTTCTAAATCAATAATAAGCATTAAAAGCTCAATAAAATCGATAATTAAGTACATAATTTATAATTCATATCTCTTTCGACATTTCTTCATAATGAGAATATTTTTCTTTCATTTCTTGTTCAAAAATCAACCATTTTTGAGCACGCCTTTCAGTGTTTAAACATTTATTTTTTGACTCATTTTTTTTTTAAGTTTAAGTACAAATGGTTTACTTTTTAGTACAGTTGCTGGACGAGCTTTAAATGTCCACTAAGACTATACTTTTCTTATTCTTAATAAAAAATTAACATTTAAAATTATAATTTAATAAAAAAAAAAAATTATTTATTGAATTAAAAGAGATATTTTAACACTCGGAACTATTCGTAAAAATCGAATTCCTAATTGTTAGTTTTCATCTGAAAAAATAATGCTTAAAAAACCCAGGGGAATTTCATATGAATATTTAACTGTATTTAACAGTGTTCCAATAACTTCAGTCATATGGAAATATAATAAATTGGAGACACTTCTTTCATCTTATTGTGGAATATTACCTGAAATGTCTATCAATCGATTTGATAAAAAATCAAAAAGAAGTATGGAAATAAAGTTCCCTTTTATATTTAAAGAATACAACCGCCATATGGGAGGTGCTGATCTCCTTGATTCTTTAATTAGACGTTATAAAATTAAAATACGAACAAAAAAATAGTGCATGAGGGTTTGGTACCACATCGTTGTTATATCAATCGTTAATGCATGGTTACTCTATAGACGAGTGGAAAATAAAAATTTAAAGTAAATACCTAAATTAAGTTTATTTGATTTTCGGCCAAATTTAAATTTTCGTTGACAACGTCTGTATTTGCTCCAAAAAGAGGCAGACTATCTAATGAAGAAAAAAAAACAGATAAAAAATCCTGAAAAACATACTCATTTAATAACGCCTGAAGAAATCAGTAGAGATGGTTTACATCATTAGCCAGAATATATAAAGAACAAGGCAACGGTGCAAGTATTAAAAATGTGAAAAACTAACACAATGCACTTGTACTAAATGTGATATTTTGTTGCGGTGTCAACAGAAATTGTTTTAAAAATTTGTGTACATACAAAATAACAAACAATTTTTTTGTTCCTAATTAAGTAAAAATGTATTGTATAAATATGTTTAGTTTTAAATGTATTCAGTTTATAATTCTTATTATAACATAATATTGTTGAGACTTAAGAATAAATAAAGGTTTATTATTCGAAAAAAAAATGTTTTATGTTTTAAGCGCGCGATTTATCATAGGTGATACATTTAAAAAAAAAATCTATACAAATTAAAAAAAAAAATAATTTTCAAAAAAAAAAATATTCTTCCAACGCTCCATAATTACAGATGCACAAATTTCTCCGCTAAAAAAATCAGAACTTAAATTTAATTCGCGTAGTGTAGGATTAACAGAAGTCAATGATGATCTAATAATATTATAATCACAATTTAAATAATCATATACAGATTCATTAAAATACAAAGGTGGAATATTAAATTTTATTTCCAAATTAATAAATAAAGCAGTGTGATATAAATAATCTATAGGAACCAACGCATCCAGTTCACATTCCACTTCAACATTTAATGCATTAGATAAAATTAAATCTGGTGTAGAATTATTACGATTTTTTATTGAATTAAATTGTTTTAGATTAAGATACGAAAAATTAGCTATTGCGTTAGATTCGGTGTTACCGTAATTATGAGAAACAAGTACATTAGTTAATGACCATTTAATTGCAGGTAAATTAAAATCACCTAATTTAATAATTTTGGGATTATTTTAATTACATAACAAGCTATGAACCGTATCAGTAAGATCATTATAAATGCTACCATTAGAATTAGGAGGAAAGTAAACAGCACCAATTATAAGTATAGTAGAATCAAGAAATAATTTTACAAAAAGTTGTTCAATATTATTATTCCGGATTAAAAAACGACAGCAATCAAATTTGTTTTTAACAGCAATAAGAACATCACCTCCTCTGGTAAGATTATTGAATACACTGCATCTGTCACAACGAAAGATGTTATAATTAGGAAGAAGACCAAGTTCACAGTTGTTAACCCCATGACGTAACCAAGTTTCCGATAGTACGATAATGTCATAATTAGCTAACGCTATATTACGAGAAAAAACGTCCAATTTAGTATTTAAACCACGAACATTCTGATAGTAAATTGATAAGTGATTTAAATTGAAATTAGTTTTAATTAGTTTTTTGAAACAATAGGCAAATTATTAATATATTTAATAAATATATCATTTTCACCAACATTTTTTCTTGCATTTAATTCATCGATTACTGTTTTTAAGTGATTACGTTGAAGCATAGTTCTGCCCGTTGAAACAGTAATATTTTTGAAGGCATCCAGGTTTTTCAGTTTACGTTTATTTTTTAGAATTTCAAAAACATCATGAGGAGTAGGCAGAGTAGCTCGAATAGGTCTATTTTTATTTAATGATTTACCCAGACGTAGAATAGTTATAGGATCTTTAATGACATCAATATTACAAAAAATATTAGAGACACTCAGTTTGTCGTCAGCATTAGATTGGGTTTCGGGTAGATTGAATAAAATAACGTTACAATTTCTAGAGTGACTGTAAATAATCTCTGCAAAAATTTTTTCTTGATTTAGTGAAGTTGAACTGTTGTGATTAAATTCTAATTTGGACAATTTAACTTCTAGTTGTTCCATTTTGGTTTCAATTAATTTGTTTTTAGTCAACATTTCATTAAATTGCTTAGATATAGTATCTAACTTACCGCTGAAATCATTGAATCTTGAATCAAGTGAATTCTTTTCCTCCATAAACTGATTAAAAGACGTTTTTCATGGTATAAAAGTAATTTAGACACGTACAATTAAAAATTATAAGGAAGACGTATAACTGTATATATATGGATATTCGAAAAGCATAAACGAACGTGTGTCTGTTACGAAAGTCAACTATCAACTGTATACTTAACATCTCAAACATAATTGGTTCTTTTATGCAATGAAACAAAATAAAATGTACCATAATCTATGTATAAACAAATTCTATAAAACAATTGTTAGAAAAAATCTATAGGTGCAAAATACTTAATTATTTATGTTATTTTTTTACCAAAATATATACCCAATAAAAGTATAAAATATTAATCAAAAAATTTTAAATTATTTTCCAAAACCAAAGATTTTTCACAAATATTACACAAAATAAAACATAACTATAACATATGAATATTTCACTAGAAGACAACATTTTTAACCATTATAAATCACACAAAAAAGAAAAATATTCAACAAATTACTCAAATGATCCAAAGAACAACTAAATATACTCAATTATCAGGTGTTCTTTGGATCATTTAAGTCCACTTTTAGAAATTAATAGGTACCCAATCAAATTATTTATTTACATAAAAATACAAGCTATAGTTATGACCCATGTGGAATACAGACTAAAATTATTTTCTACAGTGCGAAGCATATGGAACATGTACATAACACTATTAACACTTTAATTTCATAAATATAATTCAAACATGGTGTTTAATATGGAAGAAATTATTTCTATTTGAACAATGATAAATCAACATTTTATAATTATATCACTCAATTTATTTCATAGAAAACAATAAGCAAGTATTATTTTAACTGATGAAATACATATAATGGCATTATTTCATATACATAAATACACATAAATGTATGTATTTATAATTATTTTATGATATCTACAATATTGATTTAATAATAATAATAATAATAATAATGAGTATAATAATAATAAAAAGAAACATGATTTAGTATAAATACAATATCAAAAACTCAAATATAATTAATTATTCAATTTGAAAGTTTTTGATTACTGAATGGTGTTAAAGTTAAATTTTGGGTAACATTTTCAAAAGGAATTACATAAAATGTATACACACGTAATATGACACAAAGAAACAAGTACATACAAGTATGCATGTTCATAAAAATTCATTCTAATACTTTAAAAAATAATAATAATAAACAACATAGTATTTTTGGATATATTGTTTATAATAGTAATTATAAAAATGTAAAATAAAATGAAAAATAATAGAATCTAAATTGGTTTCAATTTTATAAAACATTATGTATTCTGAAAAGATTTGCATTGTAAATTATTTATTAAAATTATATCAACTTGTTCTAAAATATAATTAACTTGCTTATAATCAATAATGTATGATAAGAATGACAGTAAAAAAATATGTTAACATTGAATCCTAAAAATAATTGAGTATGCATAAATAGAAATTATTTTTCAAGAGAATGGAAAATTTGTAATAAAATAGCTAAACAGTATACAAATATAAGCCAATGTTTTATGAATTAAGAATAAATTTTGGAACGTATATATTTATTATAAATAACAAATGGTAAATTAAAAAATTGTCGTCCACTGCAAAACTTTCTTAGTGATTGTTTCAATGTTATACCTATCGAGTAAAAAAATCATTGACAGGAAAACTGATGTGATTTTATAATTAAATTTCATAGAGAAATGTTTAAATGTTCATACAAATTATACTTTTATTTGTAAACTACTACTATCAGTCACTATTTATACATCTACATACATACACACATAAATATATAAAAACAAAGAAAAGGAAATTAAAAAATATAGTATTCTGCTTACAAATTGATTTTAAAAATTACTATTATGAAACTTTTGGAGAGAAAGAATTTGATCAACGACTCTTAAGATGTAAATAAAATTACTATACAACATTCTATTTAATAGGTAGCTCAATAGTTATTTTTATAATAAAACTTAAGTCTCAAGTCATGGTTTTAAATGATCATTTGGCTTTAAACCTTAATGACTCAATAAATTATTATGCTATATAAAATTTACTTTGTACAAATTTTGTTTTACAGTCATTAGTTATATTTAATTATCACTGCCCATGATAATATTTTTCAATTCTTGAAACATAAGTTTATACTTAAGAAAACATAAGTTTAAATAATAATAACACTTTATGATTGATTTAGTCAAAGATTCAATATATAATTAAACTTGAATATACTTTTGGTATATTAAGACTTTGAAAAAAACATTAAGTTTCTGATAAATTTAAATTAAAAGTCAATCATCTCACATTACTTTAAAAATATTAATTGAATTACAATATTTTATTACTAATCACATACAATGAATGCTAAACTACGAATAAAATAAAAATTGAGTTGTTATTACATTTGAATATAAATTAAAAACAATATGATTAGAATGAATATTGACTAATCTGATTCATTTACACTATGTTGAGAAAATATGTCACTTATTTCTTCTTCTTCATCTTCTTCTTCGCTTTCATCAAAATTTGATTCATTTGAATTTTCTAAAAGAAAAATAAATGTGTTATAATATAAAAAACTAGCTATATATGCTGATTATTATCAGAATTACCAATCAGTTTAAGATAATTTCATTATCCATACTTATAATTACATTACTTTTAAGATTGAAACAAAATGGTTAAATGTTTATATCATATTGTTTATTTATAATATTTATAATTTATAATAATGTTTATTAATCATATTTCTAAAAAAAATAAATAGTTTATATGAGATTCAGATTATCATTAAAATAATAGCTTATTTAACTATATATAAAAATAAAATAATTGTAAAAAAGACAAATATTAAGTTATAAATTTAATTTATTTCTGCATTATAGTAAGGTTTTATAATAAGAAATTTTTTTTGATACAATCATGTGATATTAAAAGAATTTGAATAATAATATTTCCACTGTTACTTATTACTTTTACGATAGCATATATATTTTTATAATATAATTTATAATTTTAATTTTATTTTTTATTATTTTTTTATTTTATTATCCAAAAATAAAATTGAACCACTTCTAAAACTAAAATTTGGATATAAATACACATAATTATGAGATCAATCTTATATTGTATAATTTATGAAGATAAAGTTACATAAAAAAATTACAGTAGAAACTGTTATCCATCATCACTTCGTTAATGAAGCAATCGCGATAAACTCGTTGTGGCGAATATTAATCGTATAAAAATGTGTCTAAAAAATGTGATAAACGCGACACAAATGAACAAATTGAACTATTTTTAATTTAATTTAATCAGTGATTGACCAGTTAAACTGTTCTACGGCTACGTAAAATAGTAATACATAAATAAATAAAATAATTGGAGCTAAAAAAGCTCAAGTATCAAAAAACAAAAAAAAAAACAGATTATTTTGCTTATTAGTTTTAGTTTAGTATAGTATGTAATATGTAGTAAGAGTATAAGTATAATTTTTTTCTAAAAATACATATGTAAAAAATATAAGTTTATTGCAAAATGTCTATAAACCGCCTATTTGATTAACCGTCAGCGACAGTTGATCGAGCTTTAACTATATTTAATATTTATCTAATTTATAGATTATAGTTATTGAGTATCATTAATATGATTTGTCCATAGATTATACTATACATACATTACTCATATAATATGCATATATATATATCTAATATCTCTATTTGCACTATTGTTATTTACCATTAACATTTTGAGATTGCATTATATCGTCAACAGGCCATGAAAACTTGTTATTATCAACAATTACAGACTTATCTTTAGCAAGAGTAAAGTTTTGTTCACCTGTATTTCAAAAAATAGACATTTATGTTACTAAATCATGTAATATGAATGGTTAAATTGAAGCATATAATATAGTTACCAGTAATATCAGGAGTAGAAGCATCAAGCATAGGTTGCAGAATTCGTCTACGAGCATTGATGAACCAATTATTTACTTGTAACAATGTTAAATTTGTTTGTGCAGCAATAATTTTTTTTTCATCTTCGGTAGGATATGGATGCTGAAATTTTTAAACCAAAACCAATTATTTTCTATCAATAAAATATTGATCAAATTATACCAAATTTATATTCAAATCAATTTTACTACAAATACATTTAAATACTAATTTGTATTTATTAGAATATATTATGAGTGTATAAAATATAACTAAAAATTAAAATATGGCAATTATCTAGAAGATTGATATGAGAGGAATAAATACTATTATAAGTTCATATGGTTGATGACATACTTATAATACTGAAATAAATAATTCATTCTAATAGCAATAATTTAAATAAAATATTTATTTTTTTGTAATATTTAATCTACACTTTAAAACTAATAGTCCAACTAAAAAAATTAAAAAAATTTAATAATTATTTTTATCTTTACAATTAAATGTTGAAAAAGCCAGGAACGCATTACACTTGTTGCATGTTTAGGAAGGATTCCTCGTTTTTGCTGTCTTTTTTTTTTACTTCCAAAATAATCATCATCTTCATCACATGATCCACCACTAGTAGCTGATAAGGAACCTACAAAATAAATACATAAGTTATTGATTAAAATATACAATAATATTAAAAAATAACCAGAGAACATTATTAATCGAGTAGAGAAAATGTAGAATTTCATAAAAAAATTCATTATAAAAAAAATACATTGATATGACAAAAATTAATGTTTTATAGAAACCAAATAAAACTATTATACTTTGTTGTATTTAAAAATTATAGCAAGAACAAATACAATTGTAAAACAATTACAACAATTTATAATTAACTTACCATGTAAGATAGAAATATTATTCGGTAATAAGTTTGTACCAATTGCAGATAACGGTGTTTTTTCTAAAGAATTTTGAATTACTGGTTTGGTGACTGTTAGATCAAGTTGAGAAACATCTGATATTTGAGATACTTCTTTCATTTCTACAGATGTGGAAGAAGGTATATTTGACAAAAGACTGGTAATGTTTTTTAAATCCATTATTGTTTTTGGTTTTATAACATCGTCGTCTCCAGGCTGCCGCACAGAAACTCCTGAAGAGGATACCACCTGTCAAACATCATTATAAACCTAAACCTAATATATATATCACAATGAACTAGTTTACTTAATAAATATACAGATAAATAGATAAATATAGATATTAACAATAGGTAGGGTTTTCATATCTATTCAAAATAAAAATAAATCTGGTAAAAAAACATAATATTTTATTAATAAATACTAAAATATTAAAAATATTATTAGTATTGCAAAATTTTACTTGGAGTAATTATTGGTCATACATGCCTTAAATATTGAAGTAATAGTATCAATTAAATTTTTAGGTATCATATAAAGTCTTACTTCATATTTATGTTATATTCAATAAATATATTATAATAATATTTGTATAGGTGCTAATGAAAATTTAATTTTTACCTGACTATGGTGTGGAGAATGGCACAATGGAGAATTACTATTACTTGAGTTACCACTACTATTATTTTCTAAGTAACCAGAGGTGTAATCAGAACGTAATAAATTTTCACTTTGCATTTTAATTTTAAGACATGTTATATATCTGCTACAAAAATCTTTACACAATTCTTGAACTTTTTCTAGTTCTAATAAATGTATCCGTAATACTTGAATAGCTTTAATCATCTGGAAATATATTAAAAATAAACAAATGTTATTGTTTATAAAGTTTCATATTTTAATATATATAAATATATTTTTTGAAATTATAGTGACAACACTATTAATGGACGTTTTAAAAATTATAGCTTAGATGATACGAGTGATTTTTAAAAATCTTTCTTTAATTTAAATATTAGTTTAGTATAAATAATATTTCTGTTATAAGTAAATATTTAATAACTTTATATATAATGATAAAAATATAAAAAGAAGCAAATAGTCTATTAAGTATATAATAATATTCAGGTCAATCGATATATATTTTTCGCCCTAAAGTAAAATTGTATTGTCACTCTTTATTAAAGACAGTACAAATTGGAATTATAAAATGCTATAATGATTTGCAGTCACAGCAAGCTAAAGAAGTTAATATGATGATAATAGAAAATCATAACAGTAATTATTATAGTCTGTTGTCGATATTCATATCATTTTGACGCTTCAATTTCTTTAAAATTGTATTCCACCCTAAATCAATGCATAACTTACTACTGCCCTATAGACAAGCCTTACAATATTCTATAATAACATTAAAAACTATATTATAACTGTAATATAACATAATATTTTTGGAAAACAAAAAAAATTATTTAAATTTAAAGCAGATTTAAAACACTTACCAGTCCATCTATTTCTGTATCATTAATTAAAAATGGTTTCCTATCTCTTTCTTGGTGTTGAACAAAAGCTTGGATGTCCATATTAAAACTTTCAGAATTTGAGATAACTGCCGATTGTGTAGCTTGTTCACATCTTTCAAAAAGTAATGCGAGTAAGGGAAAAAGTGGATGCCTGAAAAAAAAAATATTATTAAAAATTAATAAAAAAGTGATTGATATATTTGATGAAAACTAGTATTACTTATAAACAGCTCGTTTATCTGCTTCAAATACTGCTTGATCTGTTTGTTGAATATTATTATTGGCAACTGCCGTTAAATTAGTTGCAACACTATCTGAGTATGAGACCATTATTAAGCTTTATATTTGTTTTCTTTTTTCATATCTAAATATTGAAAAACCTGAAAAAAAATTATATAATAATTTAATCCTACATTAAACATACGAGTATGTAACTAATCTCAAGTGGAAGAAATATTCAAATAGTACAGAAGTAAAAAAGAAAACAATTATTTTTGGTATAAACTACTTAAGCACTATGTGTCATTTGTTATAATGAGTAGTAAAATAGGATAAACTGCTTATTTGAAACACTTAAGTAAAACTAATTAACACATTATTTTGTATTTTTATTTGCAGCCATATGTGATTATCATATATCACATATGTGATTTAAGTCATTACAGCAGTAATCAAGATTAGTATAACAGATTATTACACAAATATAGGTAGTTTAAAAAAAAACAAATACAAAGATAATAATTCAAATTTTACACCATATATTGATTAAGATAAGGCAATTAGATTGTTTTCTTGTATCGAAAGCATTAGATTATTTGAAACCAATAATACATATAGGTACTACAATAAATATTTTTAATAATAATATATTTGACACAATTAACAACTGTATTGTATCTAAGTACCAATTAAATAGAGAAAATTGAAAGCTAAAATCATGGTCCATTACCAGTGATCTTGTGATATCAATAAAAAGTAAAAATAAATTTAATATAAAATTTAAAAAAGATATTTAAAATTAGACATTAATAAATTATTACAGAAAATACAGAAACAATAACAATACTTATTCGGGAGGCTAAAGAATAATATTATATTAATAAAGTAGTAGTAGCATGTAAATGTAATGGACGGAAACTCTGGCAAACGATTAATGAATTAACAAGGAGAAAAATTAATTCTGTTGGGCTTATAATTAATGAAATAGTAGATAAATATTCATATTCAACACCTAACAACTACTTAAATATAGTAAAATAATATTTCGCAACAAGTGAAAATAGATAGTAAAAAACCATTTTTCCTACAATATAAAACTTAAATTTGGAATAAATAATGATGATGAAATCCAAGAATTTTACCGATTCATAAAAAAAGATGATAAAATATATTTCACTATTTATAGCCAATCTCGATAGTAAAAATTCTAGCAAAAATTCTTGAAAACAATAAAAAAATCAACTACTGGAATATTTAGAGAAAGTTAAAATAATATTTGATGGATAATACAGGTTTAAAAAATGTGTTGGAACAGAAGACACTTTAATTGATATAAATATCTTTTTTATATAAGAAAAGGGATGGAAAATTAAATTCTTATTTCTTTTTGAATTTATAAAAAGCATTTGGTTCAATCAGTAGACAATTATAACATAACAAGTTAAAAAACTTGTTAACATTAAAATGGATTACTAATTATTTGAGTATCAGACAACAACTAACCACTATTGAGCCTCATTACAGTAATTATTGTTATGTCAACAATTAAAAGGTGTCACTCAAGGTTAATTAAGCCCTATATTGTTTTTAATCTATATTAACTCACCTGTCTAATTATTAAAAGAAAATTTATTTATATTCGCTGATAATAGATAGCACTAGTAAATTTCGAAGATAATTGTGAAAAATTGAAACAAACTGTCGAAAATTATTTACAGTATATCTATGACTGGATTAGGGATCCCATACGTTCCGTATTTTACGGGATTGTCCCGTCTTAGAATAAAGTATACCGGTGTCCCGACACAAGTATAAAAATAACACTTTTGTCCTGTATCTTGTATAGTCTATTTATACCTTATTTTAAAAATTAAATTTTTTAATATTGGTAAGCTTTTTACATTTTATGTTATTGATAAACTATAATATCTAAATCAAATGGTAATTAATAATATTTGATTATAAAACAAAAATAGTAAAGTCACCTAATTATTTGTTTTTAATTTTAATTATAATTTGTATTTGTTTGAAGTATCAAATATTGTGTTCTACTTTATTGTATAGTATATTAAGTAACTGTGAGGAAAATTGCTAACATAATTTTAAAAATTGGCATAATTTAAAATGTCCCGTGTTTTTAAAAAATAAATCTGGGATCCCTAGACTAGAAGGAAAAAAAATTTAATACTTAAATAAATTGGTTTACATGCCAATAATATCAATTCGTTTACAGCTTCACTACTTTTATAACAGTTGTGTCGCTAGTCCAAAAAAATCTAAATTTTTGTACTTACTAAATGTCATTACTAAATGGTCAGAACAACACTAGCGTTAGTGCTATTGAAACATATAACTATCGGATATCCGGTAGTATACACCATGTCGCTTAGCCCCTTTTGCCTTTTTCCAGTCGGTATATCACTTTGCTATCTTCTTAAAATATTATTAAAAATAGTTTTGTTCCACTTATCTAACCTAATAATATTTTACCTAAATAAAGTCCCAAACTATTTTTAAAAATTATTAAATTCATTTTATATTTTTGTATTCGTTTAATGACACATATATTTCGATGTTCCACAAATAAAACCGTAGTTGAAAATATGACGCTTGTTTCGTTATTTGGCCTAGCTATTCAATTATCTTATTAACAGATTTTATTTTGTTACACATACCAAAAAACTGTTAAAGTGTATTTTCTAATTACTTAAAATGAACTATGTATTTACTTTTTATTTTTATAAATCTAAATATTTTTAAATTTTTCTTATTAGATGGTTTATTGTAAAATATTTAAGACTAAAATAGGGTGGCCATTCGTCCCGAATTTTCCGGAACTACCGGGTTAGGAACTCATGTCCCGGTGTCCCGAAAGTTTTTCGGGACAAGGCGTTGTTACCGGATTTAGCTATCAACATAATAATGTACCGGAATTTAACTACTTTTTTAAATTATTATTATAATTGCCGGGGTAAAATGCATCAATAGAACCAGTGTTTTCATTGATGATTTCCACTTGGACCGACGTTTATAATCAAATGGATGTGGCAATCGTAGAAAGTTGTTTGATTATCAAAACATCTTATTTAAGTTGCATGGAATTTTATGACGAAATTAAAAAAAAAATCACTTGTTTCTGATGAACGTCTACAATACGCAAAAATACACGATGACAGCTGAAGATAAAGTTTAACAAATTTTACCTGTCACTATCAAGTACAAAAATATGTAAACTGTATTTAACATTTTAAAATTAGTTTTTGTTGAAAATAAAAGTATATTTTCTATTTCTATAATTTTAATATTTACCGTTTAATATTTCATAATAAAACCAATAAGTAAAAAATTTTAAGATAAAAATATTAAGTAGTTATGGTAAGATAAGACGATTAGGTCAAGTTAGAATTTATTGTTTCGGATTTATTTTTAATTTTATCTGACCACCCTAGACTAAAATTTCAAGTAAAATATAAGTGCCATTAATTAATACTATATTTAAAAATGAGTGGATAATAGATAAAAAAAAAACCTGAGTTTATATAAATTCTTTTAAATTGAAAAGCAATAATAGAAAAAAAAATAACACTTGAAAAAATATACGAGTTTGATTTACCCAAAAACGGTTAATTTATTATTTTATTAAATTGTTATTTGTTCAAAAAGACTGTATTCTAGGATGACTTAAGACAAATTTTCTTTATTCTATCAAATACATTAAATGAAAATAAATTGAAATAATATTTTTAAACAGATTAAAGCAAGTACTTTGTTTTTGCTTGGATTTTTTTTTTAATTTAACTTTTAACTTTTTTGGAATTAAGAATTGAATGAATAATAAAATTGTTTTTAAATTAAATCCAAGTTAAATTTAAAACTTTTAATTTTATTATTATTAACATTTTTATATCTTTATATAACCAATATTGCAGAATAATAATTTTATTTATATATTAAAAGTGTTCAATATTAATATTTCATCATTATAACCTTACAATTTTTTTAGACAGTATTATTTCTAAAATAACTTTTTAAAGTACACAATTAAAATAAGAAATAAGTACAGAGTTAATTTTTTTTAACAAAAATGTATTACTCTTTAAAATCAATTTTCAGAAAACATAGAACTCATATTTTTAAATAGCATACCAGATCTCAATAAAATTGATTGTCAATAAAATTTAAATGTTTTTTAAATATTTTATTTTACATAATATAGTTCGAAATTGCCAATAATTTAACATAATTAAGCTGTTATACCTAATTAAAGAATAAACTATATAAGATATATAGATAGTAAAGATATTTAAATTCTAGTCAGTGAACCATTTAAAGATATTCATATACTATTCAACTATGCAATGATATAGGTAAGGTAAAGGTTTTGGGAGTTAAACCCCTTCCCTTTATTGACAAAATCCTAATTAGTAAATAAATAATAATAAAAAATAATTATTACCTAAATACATAGACATGATACTCTTGAGTATAAGGTCTATGCCTAAATATAGCCCTCCCTTGATACTTTTATTTATTAATAACTATGTGGTATTCTAGTGTCCAAATATAAAGGGTTTAGAACTCATTGAAGAAACTACTAATTATATTCATACATGAAACTACTAATTATATTCATACATGAAATACATGAAATTGAGTGAAATAATAAACCAGAAAATAATTAGATTAAATAAACATTTGAAACTAAGACTTTTGTGAAAAATATTATGAATTTTTAATACATCATAATAAATTAGTAACTTAATATAGATTATCTCTTTCCAGCATGGCGAGATAACGTTTATCCCACCAAAACGCCGACCGTTGCTGCACAGCGATACGAAAAATAACCCACCTATAAGCTAATTTTTTTTTTATACTATAAATGAATATTATTTTCCCTGTTCTATTAATAAATATGTGTATACTGTTATTAATCGGATTTAAAATTAAAACAAGATATATCAATATTTTTCCACGAATTTTAAACGATAATGGTATTTCGATTGTGCCTACAGTTCGTTTTTCTGACTAAAATATTAATTTGTACATTTCAGCCGTTTCTGTTTGTTGAATCTTTCCGGAATTTTTATATAATACAAATAATACTATATATTTTGAATGTGTGAACTATTAAATGAAAAATAATTATTATTTTTTTCGATAAATTGATTTTTGTGGTGGTACGAATTTTAACCCGTGGTGCTGGTTGGGTCGTTTTTGTTTTATTTTTATCACTTTTTCGTTTTTGTTTCGAACATTTATTGGTGTAATAATGAATCATAATTTGAACGATGATAATATTGTAGACTATCTTTTTGAAGATTTACCTTCTGATGATAACAGTCTCACTGATATTGATGATTTTGATAACCATGATTATTTACCATCTGAGCAAAAAGCAATTGAAGTCGTCGAAAGTAGTTCATCTGACGAAAACGAAGAAGGTAACGAGCTTGTAGAAATTTTATGTTTGAATAATGGTGATATTTTGACATTACCAAGTCCAAAAAAAACTCGAAATGCATTAAAATTAAATTCAAACGCTACACTAACGTCTGAAACAAATAATGTGAATCTTACAAATAAAAGGAAAAAAACTATTTCTCGTGCCCTTTTTGAATCGCCATCGACTATTGACAATACTATCGTAGAAAATACACCAGAATTTGAATTTACACCTCCAAATTGGTCAAAAAACCTCACTTCAAATTGGCTTTCATTGCCAGATTTTTAAAGTTCAATAGGGCCCAGTGATTCTGTTAATACATTTCAATGTCATATGCCTTATTCATTTTTTAACTATTTATTTTCTGATGAAATAATCCACATGTTAGTAGAACAAACAAACTTATATTTGTTTCAAAGAAGTCAGAAAAATGGTAAACCTTATACTCAGACTAATATACAAGAGTTAAAGACTTTTTTTGGTATAAATTTGTTGATGGATATTAAACGTATGCCAAGTTATAGAGATTATTGGTTGTCGTCTCCAGATCTCCATGACTCGTATATTAGTAATTTAATGACAGTTAATCGTTTTGGGTGGTTACTTTCGACATTGCACATAAATAATAATGTACTGATGCCAAAAAGAGGAGACATAGGATGTGATAAACTTTTTAAAGTACGACATTTTTTAACAATAATCAAACAAAATTTCCAAACATATTATAATCCACACCGTATAGTCGCAGTTGATGAATCAATAATTAAGTTTAAAAGGAGGTCCACATTAAAACAGTATATGTCCAAGAAACCGATAAAAAGGGGCTACAAATTTTGGTTTTTGATGGACCAAAAAAGTTACTTATGGAATTTTGATATTAATATTGATAAAGTTGGTGATGTCGTTCAAAAATATCTAGGAGGAAGTGTTGTAAAAAATCTATCATACAAAAAAAAAACCATTGCTTATATATGGATAACTATTTTACAAGTGTCCCTTTATTAAATTATTTAAAAACAAAAGGAATCCATGCGTGTGGAATAATTAATTCGTCACGTAAATATTTACCAAAAATGAAACCAGACACAGCAATAAAAATTGGTGATTATGATTGGGAAATAAGTGATCTAAATAATTTATCTATTATAAAGTGGAAAGATAAAAGAATCATACATTTATTATCAAATTTCCATGATCCTAAAAATGTAACGCAAGTAAAACGTAAGGCAAAAGATAGAACTATATCTATGGTTCCATGCCCATTCGTACTTCAGGATTAAAGTTCTTAAAAGAATTGTGTTGATAAATTTGATAAAAATAAAAAACCTACCAAATTGATCGTAAAAGTCAAAAATGGTGGCACCGTATATTTTTCTTTTTTTTCGATGCAACAATTGTTAATGCTTGTATTGTATACAACGATATAACAAAAGAAAATATGTGTATGAAAGAATTTCGGCGTCAAGTATCAAGGGAGCTGGTAGCTAAAACATTGATTGAAAAACGCCGTAGTTCATCTGATTCACCAATAACACCCAAGCATTTAAAAAAAGGAAATCCGGCAGTACCCAAAGAAGTCCGCTTAGAGCAGTCAGCACATCAACCACAAAGATTAACTAGGAGAAGATGCAATAATTGCAGTTCAAAACTAAAAGAAGTAAGAACCGACTGGATATGTTCAATTTGTGAAGTTCCCCTATGCTTAAGGAAAACCCGGAATTGTTTTGCTGAATACCACAATGCATAAAATGTAAGATTTAATTAACTTTTATGTATAAAAAAAAAAAAAAAATTTAAACATTTTCCAGGTCTATTCCATTCATGCACGGTGGAACACATGTCATCCCACCTACCACAGAATTTAAACTAAAAATCAATAAATTTTAATTCTTGTCTTTTTTTGATATATTAATACATAAAAAGTTAAATTTACTTCAAATAAAGGTCGTTTTAGAAAATGTCAATCTGTGTGCAAGTAGGGTATTTTTTTTATCATTATTCTCGTACCGGAAAGTTATATGAAATGTAAACTATGAAAAAGTATCTAAGACTTGCATGGGTGAGTTTGGCTAATATATTACCATCTCTTTAAATTGAGTATAATGGTATCTATAATTTTTCATGCAAAAAAATCATACATTAAGTATAATTTAGATAATAACTGAATATCTCACTATAAGTAATTATTTTTTTTGAAACTTAAGTACAATTTTAGATCCATCATTAAAGTTAAGTTTATTAAAATAAATTGAATAAAGTCATATTTTGTAAAATATAAAAATAATTTAAAAAATACAAATAATTAATATGAGTACTGTAATATTAAAAAAATAATAAAAATACAAATTCAAATATTTAATTTAATTATCCAAACAATTCAAAAACAATGAGCAACAAGATTTTTTCTAGTCTCCCAAAATGCGGCTTACCTATATCTAGGAATTCCACATAATTTATATTTATTATCTACCGATGTATATGTTTGTGTTTTGGAAAATGGTTTAATTGATGCAAGATTTTTTGTTGTTAAAAAGAGGCAAAGAAACATTAAATCGAATAATTAAAAATGAGATACTTATGAAATAATGTGTACTGTTTATTGTCTATCTCACAATTTGTGTTTATAATTTGGAAGTTATTACCTGGTACAACATGGTATAACTTAGATATAAAGGTAAATCTAAAAAGGTTATGTACATAAAATAGTTAATCATTCGAAGAATTTTGTGGACCTCGAAACCAGTGCCAATACACTAAATACTGAGTCTTTAGAAGCCTATTAAACTGACTATCATTAGGAAAATTTGTGGTACAAATAAAGAACTTTTAGAGAGGTACTTAGCCGAGTAATGGTGTTGAAGATTAAATAAAATTGAAAATATTTTGATGCTTTCTTTAGAGATATGAAATCATGCTTTGTGGATAATCCGTAATATCAACAATAGTTCCTATGCACTTTCTTTTTTATTAATACTCTTAATATTTGAATAAAAATTACAATATAACATAGTTTACAATTTATAAATGAATATCTATATAAATTTTTTTAGCCGAGTGTATTCAGTGTATTATCATTTGGGGCACGATATTTTTTAACGACTTTTAACTTATTTCTATTATGATTATTAGTCATAAATCTATCCTAAAACCATTTTATGTGTTAATTCACCTGTAGAGTATGAGGGGTTATAATGTCCCTCAGTAGCGAAAAATATGTGAATCACATATTTCTTGCTTTTGAGGGATATTTTGATCCCTGATCTAAATTAAAGATACAAATCAAGAAAATCTTGTTTATTCAACCAATATCCCAATACCAAAGCAAAATATAAATAGTACAATAGTTACCTATAACAAAAGAAATTAATTAAATTTTATAAATTTGTAAAACATAATAAAATAATCAGCCCTTTTTTAATAATAATAATAATTAAATAATAATGTGATAATAAATAATAATAATGTACATAATAGTAGTGGTAGTATAAAAAGGAACTATTTATGTTTTATTTTTAAGTCTAACAACTGAATGAGATTCAAAAAAAACTAATATATTACGTTTATCTAAAATATTATTTATTATAATTGATACTAAAAACAATTAAAAATTTAAAGTTTTTTAATTAACATTTAATGATTAATTAGGTACAACCTCTTATAATTTATTTATTATTTATAACTTTATAAGAAATGCAAATATTCAAATGCTAAATGGAGCATTTTGTTCTGTAGATAACAGAGAATCTAATAGTGCACTGTTTTGATGGTTACTGAGGGGCTATTTGATGCCACGAGTTGACAAAGACAACATAGCCTTGAGGGACAAATTGACTCCTCATGACCCACTTAAAAATTCTACTGAGGGGCAAAAATTACCCACATGGCAATCAAAGTGTTAAGAACAAACTTAATTATTATTATTTTTCTATCAAAATAAAAGAGATAAATTAAATAGTTATATTTCGATTTGTAATAATGATATCAAACTATAATGCACATTACTAGTTTCAAAAAACTAATTGGTGTATTATAGTATCATTCTAAAAAATTATTTCAACAATATATTCCCTAAGATAGAATAACTATAATAATGAGTAATACATAATACATTTTTTTTTTTTTTTTGATTTAGTTAAGAAAAATTCTTAATTATGCATGTATACCATCCTTCCATGTTACTGACAAAATTCACAAACACAAAATCAAAATTACAGCTACTTAGTTTATATTGCAACTGACTACATATTTTTGGATTTTCATTCCATATAAAGAGAATATTTAATTCAATACTAATATTTTCAAGATAGTATCATACCTATATATTTGTTTTAACAGAGTAGGTTTTATGTTTTTTTCTAAAGTTTTTTTACAGCACTTTTGTTATTTAAAGATAAAATCCTCATATTATTATAACTTTTTTATAAGGCAATATTTAATAAAAATTATTTGACACAATCAAGTTGTTATAGCTGTTTAAAATTTCAACAGTAAGGGATTAAAAGGAAAAATCAATAGAAATACGTATCACAATTTCAATTTCGCATGATGAAATACTACACAATTATCAAGTGAATAAGACAAACTTAATAGGCGTACACGCAGATATTACATTCGGACAATGATAAATATTCTGTATCAAATAAACATGAGGTTATAATGTATAGATTGATTATATAATATTCTCATATTTGCCAAGAACAATCCAAACCCTCCAGGTGCCATCCTCCCAGAGTAGATTGTATATGGTCAAGCTCAATCCAAATGTAAGCACTTTTTAGTTAGCTGTGCGGAACTGATTGGTTCGTTGATCAACTATCTATGAATGCGCTAATATCGCAGGATTCTGAAGTTTGAATAAACCCTCCGACATAGAGGACTGCCCAAAATGGAGTCAGAATACCACGAACGCCGTGGTCGGCCATAGGGAACAAACAGCCGTAGCTGAAGGTGACTGAAGGGACGGAACACAGGACACACGTATGAGTTAAAGGACAGTCGGTGAACGTACGAAGTACAGGCTGGACGGACTGAGCGAACGTGCGGTGCAGCACTGACAGGTTGGTTAGGTTACTCACAGTTGTGACGGCGTCTCCCGGCGGACATCAACGCGGCAACGACGACGACATCGTCGGCTGGCCGAGAAGGTGAGGAGAGCAACGTAACCAGCTAGTGGTGCGTGGTGCGGCAGCCGAAGTAAACGCGACGGACGGCAGAGACGGCAGCGGTTATACAGCGTCACCGAACAGAAGAACTACGCGGACAGCCAACTCCGTGGAACACGCGGTGAAGACGTTGAGTCGCCCTCAAGTGCGCTGTGCGTACACGCGCGTTATAGTAATAATAATAATATTCATAGTGATAATGATAATAATAAAAGTAGTAATAATAAAACCACTAATACCCGTCGCGTAATAATAATAAACAGAAATAATATAGTCGTACGCAGAGATAAGGGACAAGAAGTTTTTTTTTTTTATTTTATTATCATGGTATCGGTGCCGTCGGGTAGTTCGGAGCGTTGTCGCGGCGCGCGCTCGGGTATTTATCTCTTTTTTCCCCCTTTTTCTCCCCGGAACGATAACGATAAAATGGAAGAGGAGAAAAGGAGAGACGAAAAAACAACCGCCGAAGGTCGTCCGCCCGCCGCCGCCGCTCGCAACGTACCGACGCACGCGTGCGCGCGCCACGCAAGAGAATGGAATATCGCGCGCGTAAACGAGTGTTTGCGTGCGAACGTTATTATGACCGCCACTCCGGTAGTCGTGCCGATTGCCGGGGCGGCCGATCCGGGTGGACGGAGCGGAAGGGCGGACACGATCTGCGAGTCGGAGATGACGGTCGTTCCGTACGCGGTGGAGCGAGTCGGAGCGAGGAGAGTGAGTGAGAGAACGGCGGCGACCCTTTTACAACCGTACCGTGTTCTTCGATGCTCCTGGAGAAGGAGGGCGAGGGAGAAAAACACATTCGCGCACACAAAACAAGACAATGCGATTCTCGTTCCCCGTCCTTTGCGCTAGCTACCGTATACGTGTGTGTAGACGGAACGTTGTACATCTGTACTCCCTGCGCGCGTGCGTCCCGTCCCGTCGCATTGCCCGACAACGGGTGGCGGCCACCTATGTAATACGTTGGCGCGAGCGCGGACGCGCCCCCGCATTCGGACGGGGAGGAACGGTCGTACGGCGAGATGACGGTGCCCGCGGAAACATTACGTTTTCTAAATTGCACCTCTCGGCCCCTGAATTATATATCGCGTGGCTCTCCCGTCGTAGCGGTGCAACGGCGACGGGACACTAGGGACGACGACGACGGAGGTGAGGAAAGCGGTGGCACGACGGACGAGGCGAGATCGAAAGAGGGTGCCGGCCGAGTGACGCGGACGCGACGACAAAACCGTCGTACACCGGTGTACGTACGTCCGCACATGTGTACACGTGCATTTAACGTTAGTCGTCGTAGCGTCGCACCGCTCGTTTTAGATACGTGCACGTAGTGCCGGATTAAACATTTGTGGGCCCCTAGGCAATTAAAATTTTGGGCCCTACAAAATTATTTTTTACGTACATCTTTAACATTTCTATCCAATAATTAAAATAAACAGCTTTAATAATAACCGACTATTATTAATAAATAAAATTGTGTTTATTAAATTTTTTTATTCGCGAGAAAAATTAATTAATTATTATATTATTTTTATTTTTTTTCAAAATTATTTTATTATTATTACTGCATATAACACCTACAACTTAATGTATATTATATTTCATAATGACTTTTGTCCCGTAGTTTCGTGAATAAAATACGGGTATTATTAAATAAAAAAAAATATAATTTTCCGTTTTCACAGGGCCCCTTAAAAGCGTGAGGCCCTAAGGTGGATTCCTACTCCGCCTAATGGATAATCCGGCACTGCGTGCACGTGTGTCTTTAGTTGCGCTTCGGTGATCTTGAATTTTCGTCCTAGTCGAACACTGAAGCGCAGCGTCAGCTCCCCCGGACCACCGTTGTCGTATCGATTGTAATGTAATTAGAATGTTCTGCGACGGTTTGCCGGAAGACGTGTTGCGGAGATACGGAACGTTTTGTTCCGAACGCGATGAAAATGTTTTGGAATATCGACAATGTTGCTTAGTAGAAAATTATACGATCAATACGTGTAAAAATATAACAATTAAAAGCGGTCCCGGCACTAGGTATGCCCAGGCTACCAACAGTGGCGGTTATACGTGATGTTCTAGAAGAGAAAATAAAGCTAATCCTCCCCCACCCCATAACGTTTATTTATATATATATATATATTTATTTATTTATTTATATATATATATGGAATATGAATGTAAAATAATGATTATGTATTAATAATAATTATACCCTTTTACATTAATATGTTAACAAAAAGATATAAGTGTATTGACTTATAAAATGTATCTTATAATAATTGAATAATTGTATACAATTTACAGATAGGTGTTGTTGGATCAGCAATATACTAAATTTGAAAAAAACAAATCCCAAGGGGGCGATCCATTTATACCCGCAACTGTTTACCTACGACTCTCAACGAAACGTTAAAACCATGTCCGATGTCCACATGCGCACAAGTATAGAATAATCTTGTAAAACATTGAAAGAAATCGATTTTTTTTTCTAAATTAAAAGTGGCGTAAAGTAAGTAGTCGAAAAATTGCTTTCATTCGCCGTGAACGGAATTGATTAAAATGCATTGACTTGACAACAGCTGAGGTTTTCAATTACAAAAATGGACTGTACTGAATCGATTAGAGTTTCCATAAAATTATATATTTGTTACCCGCCACAAAGCGGTAATTTATCTAACAAGTAATATTATTATAATATAATATTATTGTAATATTTCTAACTTTTTTAATTGTCGCTAAATCTTCAATTATTTTTATAAAATTATATATTTATGTTATTTTCGATATTCTATAATATTTTTTTTGCAATCATTTTGAAAAATTATTTTCTATTTAATTACAATCGAATGTAACCGGTATAAGTATACACGTGTATAAAATAGCTGAATAAATGGAATACAAATAAGGCTTTGATATTTACAGTCGGACGGAGACTACGTTCCCGGTTTACATAATAAATCACACCTGCGACTCGCAACAGATGTTGGACTTTAACTAAAAGTATTCAAATAAGTGGGTACTTTTGACAACATTGAATTTTTTATTGGTTTTTTTTTTTTTTTATTAAATAAAACCATTTTCAAGGAAATACTTGTTCAATGTATCGAAGACGGATATTAAATAGCATCTACTAACTCTAGTAGACATTTGTACAAGAAACATATTTTGTTTTGTGCCATAAACCATAACAATTAGTTGTAGATGAATACAATGCATCAACGATAAATGATGAATCATCATAAATTATTTTTATCATAACTTCTTATTTTCACATTAAATATTAATTTATAAGTCATACTAATGAAATTAAATACTTCTGTACTGTCTCACAATAAAGTACTAGATACCTGCATGGGCCAAAACCCTTAAAATTTAAATCCAGGCAACTATTTTAGTTGTACAAAAATTCAATTTTACTGATAAGATACTCCTTAGGGCCAAGCCAGGATTTGAAAAATATCTTTAAAGCTTTAGGCCCATTTCATAGCCAAACGTTCATACGTGGCGTTTTTTTAATTTACATTGTTTAAATTCATACTTGCCGATCGAAAAACCTATATGCACCCTCGTCAGTTCGGCGCGTATGAACTTAAATAATGTAATTCGAAAACGTGACAGACGATACGTGCGACTGTAAAATAACCCTTATACGTCAGCAGAAAATCCATATCGGACTGGGCCTAACATTTTTTGCCCATGCAGACCTCTAATAAGTCGGTGCGTCCGAATTGCATGCCAAAAAAATGAACATAAATTGGAATGTCCGAATTGCATGTAAGGTCTCAGAGGGTTCTGTTCGAATTGCATGCCGGAAAGTCATACAGTTGGGCGAATTTTTAAAAATTGCAATGTATTTGGGCAATTTAGCTTTTTTTAGAAATTTTTAAAATTTAATTTTTAAGCTATATGTATGTATAAACATTTAATGATGTCCAATTTCAGATAACAACATTATTATATCGATAAGATAGAGTATTGACTATAAATATAGAATAGTATAGACCAGCAGTTCCCAAACTTTTATGAACCCTTAACAAATATTTTTGTTTTGTGGAACCCCAACGTCTCTAGCTCCAAATTAACACAAAATCTGTAATTATTTGTATTTACATTTATTTTTATTGTTGAAAAACCAATATTCTAAAAAATGTTTTAAAGATAGTTTATGATTATTGTTAACTACAATTACTGTTCTCAATATTCAGGTACATCTCATCCTCAAGATTGTTCCACGGAACCCTTAAGTTTCGCAGAACACACTTTGGGAATCGCTGGTATAGACGATTAACTTTAAAATTGTATGATGTAATTTCTGAAATATTACCTATTATAGATAAAAAAGGTATAATTAATTTCAAAATGAGACTGAAAATATATTGATAAAATACAGTATTCCAGGATATTAAAAATAAATAATAAATAAAATTGCTAAAATCGAACCAGCATGTGATTCGGACATACACCTCTGTGACGTGGCATGTAATTCGGACATTTTTTTTTTTGCATGCAATTTGGATGCAGCCTAATAAGTATGTCTTAAAATAATGAGTGGATAATTATATCGGTCGTCCGATCAAGATAAGATTATATATGTAGTATATTTACGACGATTCGAAAAATAAACGTTTATTAGATAAATACCATTAAAAATGAACAATAACTTAAAGATAATTAAATAAATTTGAAATTTTAAGTTTAAAAATTAACAAAGTTAACAAGATTCTCAAAAATCTATAAATATGCAATTATATGCATTATGTTCAAAACATGCAAAAATATGCAAAATAAAAATGGTTCTATTTAATCGACAATAAGCCAAATCGTAAACATTCACGTGAAAACCAATCATTTTCGACTTGGGGAAAAAACATGCAAATGCATATAAATCCTAGCCCTAATAAATTTAAATAGTTTACCAGAGCTTAATACACTACATGTTAGTAACCTAACTTATAGTTAAATACAGTCTACAAGAAAACCATTTAGGATAATTTATATTGATTTACGTGATGTTTCTTACGCTCTAAAACACGTATCTATTAGTTGGTTCTATTTCATGTTATGTTAAAAGCAAAAACTACATTTATGGATGTTTAAATACCTAGTAAGTTTCATATTTTTTCATACATCAGATTCCCATTGAATTATAAATATTTACTGCGATCTATAGATAAATTTTCATTTGAATTTTTAAATACGTATGCATTATTTAAAACATACGTGTAACAGGATATATATATATTTTAGTTTACGAACACACACTTTTTACGAAGTGGACATTTTACGTATCGACGATGTAGTCATTATACTTTATTTAATTTAAAATGGAAACAAATATGATTATTATAATAGGTACGCAGCGTAAAATGTAATTATTCATATAAATATATAATATGTATTGAGTAATTTTTTGTGTAATGAAAAACGGAAGTAACATTTTGTATCTTAAGTGTTTTTATTATTTGAGTACCTTAAGAGCTTAGGTCCTTAACTAAAGTAATGAAATAAAACTAAAATATAAAACCAACTTACTTAATATTTATTTAATCAATAGACGTGCACAAAGTACCTATATTGAAAGGAAGCCCACATTATTTAGAATTGTTGATTATTTTGTTGTTATTTTGTATTGTTAAATTGTTAGTTTAATTTTATGCTATTTGACCAACAATAGTTATAGTATTTTCAATCAATGTACAATAATTCGTTTGATTAAATATGTATAAATTAAATAAAATAACGAGTGATAAAATGCAATCTCAAAATCATCGGTTTCTTATCTTTGGGATTCGACCCGAAATTTTAAGCTGAAATCTTATTTATATTTATATTATTGAATACTAAAATTACATCTAATAGACATTTTTTTTTTTATAATTTTTTATCTTGAGTTTTATTCATATACCTATAAATTTTTAACTTACACTTTACAGTGATATAATCAGGGCCGTAGCAAGGGGGGGGGCTAGAGGTGCCTACGCCCCGAGCGCAATTCCCGGAAGGGCGCAAAAATGAAACATTTGCAATTTAATTGTTACTTATAAGTAAAAGCAATATTATGTATTTATGTAATTACTTAGGTATATAACTTATAAATATTATTATGTTATTCCTATGAACCTACTTATAATTATTAAAAATATTTATATATTAGTAAGTTATTGATTTAAATTAAATTAAATAACGCTTACATAATTATAAGGAAAAATCATTATTTATATTACATCTATAAAAAATATTCAGTTTTTGTGAGTTTTTTTTATATATTAATATATTAAGGGCGTATTTTGAAGTTACGCCCCGGCCGCAATATTTGGTTGCTACGGCCCTGGATATAGTCGATGTATGGAACATGCACTGTGTTTATAAGTTCGTATTTTAAATACATATATATATATAGGTATCTTCATTTATAGTTATCACCCGTGTACGTTTTTCATATCTATACCTCCATGGATGGATAGTGCATCATCGCAAATTCTCAATTGCCTCCATTTATAAAGAGAATGGCTGGTTGATGATAAGAAAATAAAATAAGCTTACCCATTGCAATATATTAAAATTATCAGTTATCGTTTATCAATTTGACGGTTTCTAAACATTAATGTTGATTGTTGTCACCATCCGATTGTTTATCATTGCAACAGGTAAAACTAATTATTTGTATTTAATACCCTATACAAATTTAGACTTACCTTATGGTAATTTAATGATTTTCAGACAAATCTGCCAAAAAACTGTTCCTAGTACGAAAATTAAATTATAAACGATTGAATGACACAGTTATTTGGTAGTATGGAAAGTAATTTATTTTTTTTTATCCAAGCATTCGAATACTTATAATTTACATTTTATTAATTCATTGATTTTATAATTAATGCATAAAAATTAAAATAATGTTAAAAATCATATCAATAAAAACTAAACTAGTTTTGATAATTGTTTTATATTCAAGTATGTATTACATATTTATTAAATTTGATTCTTAATATATTAGTTGTTTTTATATATTATTTCCCAATAAAAAAGTGTATGTATTAATTGAAATATCTAATTTCATTAATTTTTGATTTGACATGAATGTTGCATCATAACATACCTAATATTGTTATTTAAGTACTATATTTAAGCAACGAGTGTTTTATGAAAATATTTCAAATATATTAAATTTTATTAATGCATTTAAATGAATAATACTACCTAACACTAATTATGATAAAAAATAATTAATTGAATAAATTTTTAATTACCACCATATAGCAGTTTAATATATTCTGTCATATTTTCTAAGTATTTATTAAAGTCTCTGTATCAATATTAATAGAAATAATATTAACTGTTGGATTTAAATTTTCCAAGATACCTAAATGTTGTTCATCATAAGAAGTTATAAATTACTTTTTATACAAATACCAAGTACAAGTTTTTCAAGGAATGAATAATATTTCATCTGCTTTTAAGTAGATTGATACCGTACACTTACTTGTATAATAATATTATTTTTTTAAATATGTTTTTATATCAAACTAATTGTAACATTTTAAATATTTAATATTAACTGGTATCTATTAAGATAAATAATTTTAATATAAAAATAAATAAATAAAAAATTAGCCTGGAATAATATTATATTTGTAAAGTACAACTGGTTTCAAATTAAAAATTCATCATCAGTTATGTACAAAGTTAATAAAATTGCAAATTAATATAAAAAAATAAAATCACAACTCTGAGTATATTAATTATTTTTAATTTTAATTTTATTTTTTATTATTTTTTTATCAATCATTTTTGTAAATAATTATAAAATAAAGTTGCATTTCAATGTTAATCTTATTATAGGTTAGTTAATAATTTATAAATAATAAAGATATTTTAAAAATGAATTCTTTTTTAGTATATTTTACCTGTAGACATGTATATTAATTTTAATAAATGAAAATGTTAAAAATTGTGATTAAATTAATACTTTGATATTTAAATAAAAGAGTTCTACGAAATCTTAGAATATTTGATTAGTAGATTACAATGTATAACAAAATGTATTACAATAGTATCACAAAAATATGTAACAACAGGCATTAGTCAATTTGTTTAATATGTTTGTATCTAATACACTTAGCTTTTTGTTACATTAAAAGTAACTTGTACCTACATCCTAATTGAAATTTAGTAATAGACTGTTAGTTTATGGTTTTTTAAGAATTTGAAATATATAATAGAATTTAAATTTTAAATGGTTAAAATCTTAAACTATTAATGTGTCTTAAAAATTAATGACTACTAAGTTGGCAATATTATGTGGTTTACAATGATTACTTTTTTTTTAAACTGAAATTCTAATTCTATATTTTTCCAAATTTTTTTTTACAGGTTTTATAATTTAACCAACTGTTATGAATAATGATTCAGGCATAATTTGTTTTCAACATTGTGATAATAAGAACATATACTGTATAAATATACCAAATAGTTGTCCTATTTGCAAAATATGCATACAAGATCAATTAACAATTCCAATTAGGTAAATTAAAAAATATGTTTTTATACTCAAACATTGTCAATAAATGTTTTTTTCTTACATAATAATTAACATGAAATAATAAAATGAAAAATAGACTGTTAATAGAAACTTTTAAATAACTACTAGGTATCTAAACCTCAATGACTAATTTAAACAAAATAAGTTAAAAAAAAAAGTTTATTTTGATTCTTAAAATTATTTCATACTTAAACAATTGCTATTTTAAGTTTTAATTACTATAGTTACTCTTAAACTTTCATAAAAACTTAATTAGTGAAGACATTTAAAGTATAAGCTTTCTTTTTTGGCAACAACATTATTTTAGAAACTTTAAGTTTAGTAATACGTTTAATTTAAATAATTTTTATTTTAAGAGTTCCTTATCCATTTGTAAGAGCATCTCAACAACCATGTTCCATTGTTATAAAACCCACTCGAGGCGATTTTTTAAAGTGTGTATATCAAATGTTATTTATTCAAAACTACGTTCAGAGTAATGGATTTAGTTTGGTTACGTGTCATCATTTTTTTTTTTTTTTTTTTATTAGCAATTACCAATTATTGGATCATTTGCATATTGGAGTAACAAACTCAAGAGGAACCGTTATATCTTACGATTGGAATGGAATCAATGAGGATACAGATAACTGGCAGAGATGCTTAGTTGTTTTTGAGCTCAATGACAATTGTTGGGATACTCAGTGGGATAATGTATTGACTGATCTTGTGAAAAATAATTGCTGGGATAGTGCTAGGTTAGTTAAATTTATTCTTATTTTATTCTATATTATTTATATTATCTAAGAAAAAAAAAATGTTAATGTAATTTAAAAAATTATTGACTAGCACGCAAAACAAACAATAAAAACATTATAAACATATGCATATGTAAAGAAATAATTCATATACTTAGACTCTTATTAAATATGTGAGCAAACATTTTGGTAAATTAATTTTTAAAATATAATTAATTTTTTTTTATCAAAATTAATCACCAAAAATATTAGTTTAGACGATTGTTAATCTTAATTTTAGTATTCTTAATTTGTTGCCGTATATTTTTTCACATGGTAGGTTATTTAACACTAAGAAAAATGTCTAATTTATAAAATGTCATGATTAGTTGAGTATTAAAATAATAGTATGCACATTAAATTTTATATAATTTGATAAAAGTAATTTTAAATGTCTTTATTTTCTATTTCATGAATCATAACTTATGTGGTAAAACCAATTTAAAACTAAATAAATATTTATGAAATCATAATTATAATATAATCTTGCTACACAAGTATGTTAATATGAATTTAATAAATTAAGGTATATTAGTCTATGTTTATGTATTAACTATAGTTGCATCATATGCATCAACAATTATAAAATAATAAGTTTAAAAAATCTCATAGGTGATTATGTGCTTTTCATTATTCGGATGTCATAAGACCTAATTATATAAATATGATATAACATAAAAGAATATCGAATTTTATTTAATAATGTATTAACTATTTTTATTGTATATTTTATAAAACTATATGTTTTATTTTTCACCTAAATTAGATAAATAATGAAACCAACTATACTATATCTTAGATAATTCGATTATCGTAGTGTGTATTTATTCACACTTGTAAAGAGTAAAAAAAAAAATTTACTAAATGACTGAAAGTGTGATGGTAAATAATGATATACTAATTTGAAGATGTGAGTCAATTGACATTATAATTTCGTATACCAGATAAATTAATTAATTTGCTTGTATGTTTGTCAGTTATTATTAATATTTAAATCAATAGAAATTCCCGTGCACATGATCTCGCTGTTGTGAGATATTTAGATGAATGTTGAACCTTGATGGTTGATAAATCTTTTATCAAGGCATTCTAGTAGGCTTCATAAATACACCGAAATTTAACCAGTATTCCTTGATACATTTAGTTCTTATTGGCATTTTGAAAACTTCAAGTTTTCCGTATAAAAACTTATTATAAATTTTGTGACGCCTGTGTTCAAACTATAAACATTATTTATGTTCTAAGAATGTAGAATTGAACATTTTACATTAACCATTTATAGAAAATCTTAATAAGTGTCGTACAAACGTTTAGTTGCAAACACATGATAGTGTAATTCCATTTACATTCACGTTTATAGAGTTGCATTAAGTTTGATGAGTTACTAATTAAAGATTTATTATAAATTTGCTTCATTTAAGCACTTATCGTTACGTTTTAGGTACGACCTAACGAAACACAATTGTTTTTCGTTCATTATGGAGTTCATAAGACGGTTCAATGGATTCAAACGATCGGTAAATCGCGTTGAAACGAAAGAAAATTTTACGGAATTGTACATAGCTCCGACCACGATAAAAGCTTACAAATACATCTACCTTTATAGAAAAATTGTTGAAAATAGTTATTATATTTATAATCAATCATCAAAAGAAATTTTGAATACATAATGGTAATAACATATTTTGATCACGTATATCCTTTGTTATAGTATTACCTACATAAAATGTACCTATACGACAATATTGTACACACAATTAATCGTAACGATACACTGACGCGTCGGAAGTTCGTCAAAATCCCATTGGTAGATTTTACATCGTTCAATGATTACAAACGGAGCTGAACCTACTTGAAATTAATATATATATATATATATAAATAAAAAAGCAAATAAATAAAAACAAAAGAATTGATTTTCTTTTTTTCTTTTCTTTCCAAGACCGTATACACTAAATTAATAGGAAACTTTGTCAAAAGTAATCATAAAATATTATGATGTTTTAATCTAATGTGTACATGTGTATACATGTTATCGTTACATGTTTATATTATATTGTACAATACAATTTTTTTTTTTTTTTAACAATTTTGTATTATATATTATATAGTAGGTAGAGTACAGTGAGACGTGTTAAAAAAAAAAAAAAAACAAAAAATAAAAAAAAAAAATTATGTATATATGTAATCATATATAGGTATATATATTTAATAATAATGAGAAGTGCGGGGAGAGGGATTGGGGCGACGTGATTGCAGTGTCATGGTCCCGTCGTTAAGCTTTGGGTTTTTCCGTTGCCGGTGAGGAGGTGGTGCCGGCCGCCGCGGCTCCTTCGGCTCCCGCCGCTTCGGAGTTCTCGATGACTGTGATCTCGGGGTACTCGAGCTTTACGCCGGGCTCGCATTCGAACACGGGGCAGCATTCCGGGAACGCGGCCGTCTTGTTGGTCTTCTCGGACAGCTTGCACTTGGGGTTGGACTTGGGGTACGGGCCGCAGTCCTCGACCAGTTCCAGAAGACGGTCAGTGCCCTCGCCTTGCACGCAAGTGGAACGTCCGCAGAACGGAGATAGCTCCCATGTGTGTCCGGGTTCGACGGTAGCGCATTTGGTCGACGCGAAACACAGCCCGGGGAAATCTATAGGGCACACGCGGTACGAACAACGATTACTCGACGGTTTCGTGTATGGTCACGGTCGGTAAGTGCTATACGTTCTAATGGTTACATCTCCCTTGTCGGACTTCCCTCCCTCTTCGCCCACCATTGTCTGGGGGGGTTCTTGTTTTTGGGATTTTTTTTTATTTATGCAACACCTCGGTTACATCGAAACTGTTACGCTTACCACTGCAAGGGCCCCACGAACGCAATGCTCATCCCGATAATACTTTGGGAGCGACTAGTGATTTAATAGGGACTTAATAGTGCACGGACATTGTTTCGAAGACGATTGTCGATTTGTAAATCGATTATTGTTAAATGTGTTACAATACTCGCGATCTGTCACCATAATTATTTTCGAGGAACACCGAGTATAACCATACACTAGGATGCCTTAATGACTGTAATAATCGGCTGCGGGCATATTATAGTAATGCACGTAATATCTATTAACGAAATTGTTTTTAAGTGAAAGTTAATACGATTAGATCATTCAGCTGATACATATGTATGTATATACATCACTGTTAATAAGTCGTACTGCAATGATAACGATCAACAACTTTTTTTTTCAAATACGTAGTAGAAATTGTTGAAAACATGGACTGTGAAACGTGTTTAAACAGAAATTATCGGGGTATTGGCAATGATCTCGATCGTAAGTGATTACAATTTACTACGGTTGAAAATTCACCGCATAAATAAATCATATTATAGCTAACTATAACAATTGCATTACCCAGTGTGTAAATGTCATTACACATATTGTATTCTACTTATTCGCCATACTTTAGTTTTTCTAAATGACTGTATCGATGTGACGGTTAAAAAATATCGGTGTTCTTGAGGTTTCTAATTCGACCTGCGAATCAAACCAGTATTAAACGCGGATTTGTTGCGAATGGAAAGCGGTCACACTTCTTTGGTTCAATTAAGGCCGTACTGGTATTGTTTTATGGACTAACGAACCTTCGATGGCCTAACCGTGCACTAATAGTAACGTTTTAGTGACAGCTAAATATGGAAACGAAAATACCGTGGCGAGCGTAGGTTGGGGAAAAGCTGAAAAATAATAACTCGGAACAAGGTTGGACGATTTAAGGCAATAGCGTATTAAATTAACTTCAATGAAAGAAAATGCAGGCGTTCGACATTATAGCTGTCAAATTTCACATAAACGTTCCCTGTACACGAATAATGGTTTAAATGGTCGACCCCGCTTGAATGTGCAATTTAGTAGGTATAGATTGGATATAAATTATTTAAATGAACTGTTTCGTATATACACCTCCGTGATTGACATTTTAAGTACATTTTTACGAACCTCTTAAGACATCTGCTGGTATGAGTCTGCGGTAAATTCTAATTGTTCCTTCCGCTTCCGGTGCTGGTGTCGATGACTTTTCGTCTGCGGAGAGTGCGATGGCAACGACTCCCAACAACACGGCCAAAACGGTCAGTTTGCAATCCATCTTATTTTTAATAGTTTATTCTGGAAAACAAAATCGGTTACCTGTTATTAGTTTTTCAGTCATCAGGTAACATTAAACACTACCGTATAAGAGCATATCAAACCCGGTGATTTTAATTATGATAGTGGGTAATAAAAATATTATTTTAGTGAAAGCGACGTTATAATGATATCACGCGTTAAACGACGACGAAGATCATTATTACTTCACATTTCTTTTAGATTTAAATTTTAATACATATGTAATACATTGTGGAAGTATATAATATGTAAATATACACGTGTTAAATATATAATAGTTTATAATGTATACAATAATATTAAAATTTGAGAGAAAGAAACGTTCCTTTAATGTGTTAGGTAGGTAATAAAATAAAAACAAATATGTTAACACATTCGGAAGAATACTAATGCGCTGTAAAGCTGCCAGAAACCATCGCAATTTAATGTATTACAATAATACTAATGTAATTGTATTTGGAAATCAATAAAAGTTGTTTGGTGAAAATTTAGGATCTGTAATGCCGAACTATTACTTTGAACGTGACTTGAAGTAAATTTTACGAAGAAAAAAAACATTTGTATTCAACGAACACGTGTGACGAGTTGGAAATGAAGTGCCGAATATTATGAATGTTAATATCGTTGTTATCGAGTATGGAAATAAGGAACATAAATTTCAACTCCAGCGTTTAGATAAAAACCTGTTTTGAAACGATTTTGTCTCCCATCGACAAATTATCGTAATGATTACGAATTTGTTAGATTCTATTATTTATCACAGTGTTATGCTGAGACAGGAGATTTAGTTGTTGCTTATTTTGTGTTTATTATTTCAAGCCAAAAATGATTTTTTGTAGTTCGGTAAAAAGTCGTCCCTGTATCCATTATGGATACCTCACACGCTTAAAGATCATAATATATGTCCAGCTAGGGTTTTAATTTTTTGAACTTGGGTTGTAGTGTTGTATTTAATGTGTTGTTCTAGATGGAATTTGCTGCCTTTTGAGCAACTTACAATAATATCTGTGTTTCAAGTTGAAAGTATAAGATGTTTAAACATTCCCAAAGTTTCCTAGCCGTACTCGACGTCTAGGTATATTGTAATATAGTGTGTATTGTTAATTACTAAATTACAGTAGCGACGAATTCTGACGTGAATTTTCAGAAAGTATATATATATATATATTAATCTCAATACGACCGAACAGCAGTGAAAGGTTATAATAACGCACTTGTTCGCGTAAACGTATATGTAGATAATGTGCATGTGGTATAATAACATTCCGTGAGCACAATAATATAATTTATTAATTATGTGTCTACGCATTTTGGTGCTGCACTCGTAGAACTTACGATTGGAATGACTTGTCAGCGCAAACTATTTATTTATTTAATTTTTTTTGTCAAATTTTAAAAACGACTGCGTTGGATGCATTGCACACAATGCAAACTTGTACCACAATTGTGTATTTATTGAAAGAGTGCAGTAACGTTGTATAAATAAATTTATGTACAAAGAAGTGACGCGTGTGTGTTAGTTGAACAATTAACAAACAATGAGACTCGAATATACTATAGTATGTTTATTTGTGTGTACATAAATAATGTATTCAAATGTGTATGTGTGTGTGTGTGTGTGTGAGAGTGCACAGCACTTTCACTTCCAGGAGATAAAATCGAATCACGTCCACTTTCAAGGACCAAATGTTATGCAACTTCCTTCAAGGTTTCAGTTTCACATTTAAATTAGTGAAATTATTGTCTGTCTTAAGTCCGCGTTGCCGTATTTCTGCGGTTGACTGATCATCGTCTCTCCTTTTCGGTGTAAATCGATTTTTTCCCGTTCAGACCGTTTATCACCGCGTACTTAACATCCCCGCGATACTATTGTTATGAAATCCATACGCACAAAATCGTTTATCGTCGAACTGTACATATTATGTATTATATTATACCGGCACCGTTTCCGGTTCGGTCGGCCGGCCGATTATCATGATAATGTAATATATTCATGTTCTTCCGTTCACAATCGATTTCATAGGTACATGTAGCTGCGGTAGATAAACTACTATTTTACTAAATGATTTTTAATACTTTTCCATCTTTATGTGCGCGAAATAGTAGCGGCTCGCGAGGTTCACATAAGGTAGTACACAATTTTTATACAATATTTCTGGGTGGTTTGCGTGCTACTCTGCGCCATAACACGGACCGCCACTGGTGCAAACAGCGTGTTGTCGTACGATACAATAAATGTAATTTAAAATATTAATAGTGTAACGTTTGAAAAAGTCGTTCTATTGGACATTTTGCTTGTACGCACTCGACAGTGTTTGGAATGGGTACGCTTTTCGGCGTATTTTGTACATTGCAAAATCGACAACGTACCGATTCGCACGAAGATCTATACTAATACGGACGCACTTGATCGGATCGACTAATCTTTTTGGTTCGCGGACCGTGTATACGGTACACATTCATTCACGAACAACTACGACGGTCGGCCGAGTGTCTCCTGCCCTTGTTACCTTGTCCTAGGTTACCGTGAAATTCGTTCATCACGCCCCCCACCCCTGTAAGTACGCAGTATTTTATATACATGTACATGGGTTGTACAGTGTATGTGACGTGTACCACAGTTGTGTAAGTGCTACTATTGTACCGCGAAGACCTTGATTGTAGTGCAGTGCACGTACAATACATGGGTACGTACACGGTGTACGTGTGACTGTTACAAACTGTTACAAGGTTAATGTCGGAATATCGCGACGAAAAAGTTTCACAGGGAACGCAGCGGGAAGGTATTTTATACACCGCGTTTGACGGGACTACACTATGTGTGTGTCGGTACGACCGGACGGAGAAAATTATAATCATTTGAGTCGTCGTGATCACGGTCGCGTGGATCCTTAAATGGGAAGGATCATGGTCTGCGAAGTAACATAAAACACCAACACTACGTTATCGGTGCTCCCAAACATTAAGTTCAACTCAAAAGACAGTTGTTCCGGTTTAACGACATGAAATCGAGTAACAATTGTCATGTGAATACTTGAATTATTCTCGTCACGAATAAAAATCGAATACATCAAATCGATTGAAACCGAAATAAATATCCGGCTTTATTTAATATTTGTTACGAACATTTTTTTATTTTACATTCGACGTACGAAAACAAATACAATGCGCTTTATTCGAGGCCTACTCAGGGCTGTCAATATTTCGTACCCGTCTACGAATCCGACCCTGGTCGCAATTATTCGCCGCAGGATTTTGAACGGCTTCTCGTCTCAGGGCCGTCGACAGACGGATGTTTGTCGCCTAATCCGGGGGAGAGATCGATGAGTGATAACAATCTCCTCTAGGCAAGCACCTTCGCCAGATCCGAAGTCGAAACCATGATCGCGTGTTAGACACGTGCGTGAATGAAAATCCAGGAAAACCGTGGTTCGTTTTCTATTCGTGTCGGGGCCGTCGAGTTCGAGAAACCGTTTCCGACGAAGCGGACCGCCGCCAGTACGTGCGTACGATGATGATATCGTTACGAAACAGTTGTGTGAACGATGTCAATGATACTGAATTAATGTCGGTGCGGTAAAACGTTCGCGCCAAGGCGTGGCGAACATGAGCACAAAGGTTATGACGCGAACCCGGGAACGGGCCATTGTATATCGTATGCGTAATGCGCTAGAAATTCATTCCGAAAACATTTGTTCAGTCTATTCGATTCGGATCGGTTGATAAAAATCGCAGTGCACGTGGATAGTACCGAAGACCATGATTGGGTAATCACCCAAACGCTTAAGAAAAAACGATCGCTGTACTAGCTAGTTTTTAAAAGTATCGATTTGACTCGGAAAAATAATGTAATCATAAGCCAAAATGTACGAAATCGTTTCGAGCGTTAAAACGTGACGGAACGCGGACGAGGCATTTTTCCGTTCATCGCGTTCCGAAATGAAAATCCCAACGGCGGTGCGATTCAAGCGGTTGCGAGGAGTTCGGCGCCAGAGTCGTACGCGGGCTCCGGGGACGTTTACGCTATCGCGTCCCTGGCAAAAAGCGCGACGGACATCGTCTCGGGTGCGCTGAACCGCGTTCGCGGGCAGACCGTCTCGAACGGGTACTTACCGATCGCGCGTTTCGGTAATACGTGTTCACCGGGTTCGACCGTCCGTTACCGTTGTCGTTCGCGCCGCTACGCGTGGCATACGTGCTGCGGTCACACGCGACGTCTTCGCCGGCGAATTATCGTGACCGCGTGCCGAAACGGACTGCGCTGCCGGTTACGCGTCGCGCGCGCCAACGTTCGCGTTCCGTCGCACCGGATCGAGACTCTTTGACCGACGTCTACTGAATCGTCGGTTTGTCGTGAAACGTAACGTCACGGCACTGAACACGAATGCCGCCGGACCGCCGGCAGCAGATTTCGTTGCCGCGGATTTCGACTTGTCGGCAATAAAAATAAAAAAATATAACGGATAAATTACGAAAAATTAAAAAAAAAAATAAAAAACCCCCCGTGAAGATCGTAATAATGCCTGTACCGGTTGCGTTGTCACACGAATATTACACACGATTACCGAACGGTTCCCCGGCCCGTTCACCGTACATCCAACCGGTACACCTCGTTATTTAAATACGATCCACTCGTCGCGACGCGTGGTGACATTTTCACGGACGACACTTGCGACTTGTAATTTTTGTATTACATCACCGAGTTGATTTATTATTCCACCTGTCGCGTTCAGGTATTGCATCATTCGTACAGCCCCCGTTCCCGTGCGTGTTATTTGATGTCCGGCAGGAATTAATATTCAGATTGGTTTTCCCGATGTTTTTTTTTTTTTTTTTTGGTATATTCGTGGTAAATTGGAAACAATTTATACTTTAATTGTGTAACGGGTCTACATAGTGAATGAGAGTGATAGAGATGAGCGGGTGTAGAGTGATGGAGAAAGTGAGAGACTTTAACAGAAAAAAAGGTTTACAAAGAAAGAATTTTATAATTTGGAATTAAATTTAAATGATAAAATATGTTCAAAGTGTAATAACCAATGTGTAACCAATAGCTTAATAATTTAATCTCAGCATGAGTTACAAATTAAATGAAACATTTTTGGATTATTCTTTCAATTCGTTGGTAATATTTTAGACCGCTAAAATATTGTATAGTTATTTATTTCCATACGAAAGCCATCAATTAAGATTTTGAGTAAAGTAATTATTTTGAATTAAAATTAGAAAGTGTTTTACTAAGTAACAATATATTGTTAATAAATAGTAAATATCGAACAAAGTTAACTAATTATTAGTATTTATTATCGTTTTTTAGAAAAATATCTACATTATCGTTTTTATTTTTAAATGTAAATTATCTGTCGGTCCTCATTTTGAATCTTAAGTGCTGATAATTAGTAAGTAGTTTAGAAAGATTTTTTTTTTAAGCTTAAAAGAATTAACTGCAATCGTTATTATGTAAGGATTTAAAAAAAAAATAGCTCATTTTTCATGCACCAAAAAGTGGTGTGAAATTTTTAAAACAATTTGTGTAATATAATTCGTTATAAATAATTATCATTAATTTAAAGACTGAATATATACTTTATGGTTTTGTAACCCATAAGTAAACCCCAGTATATATTGTTAGAAAAAGCCCTAGCAGATTAATGGTATTTTAATATTCTTTTATTCCAAAACAGGAAATGATTTATAATTACGTTCAAGTGCGTGCGTTGTGCAATAAATGTATTATTTTGAGCCAATCGTTAATTCAATCGTTAATTGAAATGAAACCTTGTAGACTCTATTAAACACCATATAATCATTATTAAAATCACCTTATAGCTAAATAAGTATTTAAAAATACACGATAATCACATTTTAAATATATTAAACAAGTTTGAAAATATATTTGTGTTTATGTTATTATTCGTATATATAACATTAAACCGCCCTTCGGTTCATATTTTTAAATTCCTTGGTTGGAATTCTAACTGCTTAGTAATAATATTACAACAAAATAAATTGAGAATGATATTTAGTTAAGTTAGCCAGAAACAAAATTAATAATATACATTGATCGATAGACTTATAAGAATTATATAGCTATTAGTGAACAATTTTTAAACTCTGCCTGATAAATATAATGATGGAAAATATGTACGAATTTATACGATTCTTAATAAATATATATACATAAATTATATTAACACGCAATCGAAATTATTGTCTTACGTTTGTAAAAAATATTTTTCTGATTAAAAATCTATCGAAAATATATTAATAACTAATAGGTGTATATATTTTTATTACTCAAGATTATATTACACTAAATATTAGCTAGATGTTCCTAAGAATAATAATAGGAATATAATCGTATTTTGCGTTTAAATCGTTAATCGTTTTATAGGTGTATTTATGAGAAATGAGTAATTATGTATGTCACATTAAAATGCTTATTTCGTTGTACAACCAAAATTTAAGTAGCTTTGCAGTTACTCATTTCATTAGTATGGTTTTTCAAATAAATATAACAATTAATATAAACTAAACATTAATGTGAATAGAGAAGTTTCATTCAATACAATGTTTACGATCAGCTGCTAAAAATGTATGAATGCTATCGGCAAACATCCTATTGGTTATGAATAATTCGTAACATAAGATTATAATTTACTACTGCAATATAATGTAGTATCTTAAAATCTAATAAACCTTATGACACACTATATAAAAAATTGTATTTAACGAATACCGAGAAATAACTCTTATAATAATATTGTTATCATTTTTCGAAGTTATAAGAAAAAAAAAGTGTGGCTGCTAATTATAATAATACGATTAATAATGATACTAATTATTACTCTATAATTAAGGCCAAGTTTTCCGTTGGACAAGTGGAAAAAAACACACTATATAAATTTTCTCTTATTGTACATAACATATATTATCGTTGGGCATTTATTTAACGTGAATATTTTCCTAATAAGACGTGTTTTTAACTTCATTATATACAATAATAAATATAGAACATTATTGGTATTGACTCCTGTAAAACCGATAGTGAAATTTATTTTAGACAGTCATCGATGTAGTAAAACATGCAACCGGGGTCTTTGAATGGTTTACCAGTTCAGGTTCTCATTTTCACCGTACAAATTTAGCTCTTTTGATCGGGAAAAAAGTCTAGCAACTAACGGCACCTGATATCGACGGTCTACACAACCGTTTTCGCATCGGTCACGGTTTATCTTCCAACGTGGATTTCGCACCGATATAGAAACAATACAATACATCTGTGTACAGGGCCGTCGCAAGCTTTTTCCAAAAGCCAAAAACGGAATAATCTCCTAACACCCAAATATATACACCCTGTTCTAACCTGACATATTGCGAGCCCCCGAATTTATTTTAAGTACTAGGCGATCGCTTAAGTTGCCTCGGCAGTGCGGCGAACCTAAAACACGAATACGTGCCCGAACACGTACCGCCGTATGTACCCATATACCGCGTGCACATATACATACATACGTAGTACGACAAAACGTTAGGGGACGGTAGGCGCCCGCCGATCGGTGCCCGGCGGATATCGCGCGCTAGGGTTTCTAAGGACTGCGGGACTCCGTTATGCGGGTGCGTTGAACGATTTTTTTTTTTTTTTTATTACTTTTTTCCACGTACCCGGGGGGCAAACGCGGTCGCGACTCTGTACGTGTATACATATTGTTATATACTTACAAAATGACGAATGTGTCTGTCGCCTCGGTGAGTTGTGTGGCTCAGGGTGTCGGCGTGCTCGGCAGTGCTGACGGCGTGTGCGACGGGTCGGTCTTGTTTCGAATGTGAACCACCTGGACGCGGCGACCGAATGTTTTATATGTAACACGCGGACGTTCGAAATCGCGACGGCGGCGGCGGTGGTGGTCGGGCGCGCGTTGTCACCGTCGGGGTGGGGAACGCTTTGGTTTCACTCTTTGGATATCCGTGCTGGATTTGTACAATGTAACGCGCACGCAAGTACACCGCGTGCATTAAATTATTATTATTATTATTATTATTATTATTGTAGATCGTATACATGTAGGTACGTTTCGTTTTGTTTCCCCCTACCCCCGTTTTGTTACCCGCCGTTACGTGCGTTCGTATAAATTATTTACCAGTATCAATTCCAGTTGGCTGGAGCCACTCATATATATATATATATATATATTTAATTATGATTATTTTTATTATTACTGTTACTATCGTGTGCTGCCCGTGGGTTTCGAATGAAATATTTACCTACTGTTTTGTCATCGCCGTGTAATTTCATTATTATTTGTTTATTTTTTATTTTTCGCGCACGCGTTTATTTACATTTGTCCTTACCGTTTATACATTTTCACGTTCACGTTTGCACCACAGATACGACCAAAGATTTGTCGATTATAAACCGATTACGTGTGCGCGATGTGTTGAAAACAAAACGCGTTTTGGACATTTTACGTTCATTTCACGTGCACCTACTCTCATTACGATTTACACGCGTTCTTATTAGTATTGCTATTGTAATTACTATCTTGTTTCGATTCTGACGCATTTTCATTTTCGATTTTTTCCACATTAAGAAAACATTTACTATCAACTACGAACACGTGTTTGAACGAGTAAAATATGAATAATCGCAACTGTTTGATATACATTTGGAAATTTATCGTCATCTTTTGACGATTTTCGATTGAAAAAAATATGCAGCATTCAAATTTATGCCTAGGTATAATTTTAATCTTAAAAATACGTTTTATATTATATTTGCAAACTGTGATCCGTTGATGTGTCAATCGTTTGCATTACGATACGTAGAAACTTATTAATATTAAAAAAAAGTATTAAAATTCAATGTCGGAGTTGAATAATTTTCTTTTTTTCCATTTATTGAACATTTTCAATACGTTGAAGTCATTTAATATTCTATTTATTTTTACTTATCGAAGGGCATCGATATCTCCACCTTTATGATTCTAAGAACGTATGATGGAAACTTGATTCCGCCCAGTTGTATTTGCTGTTGACGTATTTACTATATTCTTGAGTAGATTCTTGCATACATTATTTTTGTGTTCAATGTAATTATTAATTATCATATTTTCCAGTTGTGGTACAAGCTGAAAAAAAATCGAAATTCAACCTTGGGGACAATGATTCATTCCCAATTATGTACAGCCGTAATAACTACCTATATACAGTATAGTTATTGAACAATCTATAAGTGAACAAATGACCCAGAATATAATCCGCATCATTGTTTGTTGTATTATTTTTCGCTTGCGGTTAATCTATTTTTTATTTTTTTTTATTTTTAGATTTCCTTTGATAATACCATGGCTGGTTACGATTTTTAATGTTATTATTATTATTTTTATTTTTTATTTTAATTTTAAATTCTAGTATAAAATCGAATTCGTATTTCAGATTTGTATTTGAAAGCAATAAAAACAAAACAAAAAGTTTTTAAACTCATTTATATCATAAGAGTATTATAAATTTATACTCTGGATTTTATCCTAACGCAGATAGTATGTAGCAATCTTACATGAGTCTACCCACTTGCTGCTAAAAGTACTATTGAGTATATGAAATCGTAGTCATAATAATCTATAGAACATTTTTTTCTGTCGATTTCAACGTTGTTTTTTTAATTATTTAAGTATTTCTGTGCATCCTTGAGTTTTAATTATTTTCACTAATAATAATACAGTATAAAGTATCGCGAATTTATTTGCCTACAACCTGATTACCATGTTATAAACGTTTGTTCGCTTGGCAGGATACACCTATTGTTTGATACTATTATTGGTATTATTTTCTTATAAATAATTTCATGTTGAAAATGCATAATAATTATTTAATATATTGTGGTTTTATAGTATTGGACTGCAGTTTGTTGTTAAGCGAACCGGTTAGTACTTGAGTCCTAAAGGCATTCGTCAAATGATTTATCCACGAACATAGACGACCTGCAGCGATCTTCCTTATAATACTCTTATCTACTGTTTTCGTATCAAAAGTTGTTTCTAGTCTAAAACATGACGGAAATGCAATATAATATTATGCTCATAAACGTGACCAATCTTAATTCTGAAAAATTATAAAACCATACAGAGGTTATAGGGAGCACCATTATTAAAACCATAAATAAATGGTATATCTTACACAATACTTTCTCCTTAATCCGACTTTTTCCATGAAAGTCTTATCGAAAGTGATAAATTCAAATGTTTAAAACGAGTATTCTTTTGAGACGTTAGAAAAGTTAAACCTCTCAGAGCGCTTGTTCAAATTTATGTAATAGCTGAAAGCTCAACTTGTCAATAGAGAAAGAAAGTGTGCGCTAATTTATGACTTATTTTATCACTTTTGAAATTCACAATGCTCGAAAATTAGTGGGCATATTATATATCATGTACCTATACGTGATTATTATTTTGTCTGCGCACCACTGTGTAATATTTTCTAAAGCGGTTTTATATACCAATTATATCTGTAACATATATTTGAATCCAGAGATCGATTTTTGTTTTTAAAAATCTTCTCGAACCATAAAATACTTATTTATTATTAAAAAACAAAACCGGTCAGCCGATTATGTAACAATTTTCATTCTTTTAGGTTTGTAGACAAATCGTCTGCACGTGAAAGGATATACAGATTGCCCACATTCTTATTATTTTCGTTCTGCATTGCAAATTAAGTAATTGTTCAAATAAAACGGCTTAACTTCATTATAATATATGTCTATTGAATGGTCGCCAAACATGTATTTTCAGTTGTCATTTTTTTTTCAGTTTCTTAAAACTTAACTGTTTGACGTGAGGTTACGCAACTAATTATTTTTATTTTTGAAATATAGTATGTATATTTGAAATGATAACTCGTACGGACGATGAAAAAAGAGAGTAGCCCGTAAATTATATTATCTGGTCATCTACTGTGAATCATTATTAATCGAGATGTTACGAGAGAAATAATTCTGTATCCATATTTTTCTTGCACTCGTAAACTTAATTACATAAATTATGCAAACCATTCGGCCATTTGTTGCCTTGTTTGCCTGTGAGATTTTATGATAAGTGTATTACCTTGTAATTATTACTTTAACTGTTATTAATTAATCATCATTATTATTATACGCATTGTAATTGTAACAACCCGACGGCAAATGTTTGTATATACTATAGCGTTTTATGAAATACTGTTCATTATTCTGTTTTCGTTTGAAACTTTGTAAAATAAATAAATTATGAATGTTTTCTGATGAAACATACCAGTTCAGAGGATATATTTGTTGAAACGATGGCAATCAGATGAAAAATATTTAGTCAAGTAACGAGTTGACTATCATATTATCATATATTTTTTGCTTCGTCATATGTACTCATGAATGTTTTCTCTCTTTTTTTTTTCAATTAATATTACTTTTTTTTTTTTTTTGATATGTTAATACTAGTTTTTCAATTTTTCTTACAAACAAGAATGATTTAATTTATTATATATTTTATTAGAATATACATTGTTAATTGTTGGGAGAATATAATATGCATAACAAAATATGATAGTCATATTTTCGTACCTAATGATTAAATGATTACATTTTTTCTTAAAAACTGAAATATTGAATAAAAAATAAATAAATAGAATTAAAGATTTTGATTAACTCTTTGATTTTTTTACAATTATTCGAATAAATAGTTCAAATAAATGTTAAAAAAATTTAAATATTTTGTTTCGTGTAATTTATGTAAATATTAATTTTGTAAAATATTGACACTCTGACTGCAGTATATAATGTGAATACCGATCAAAATCGAAACAACATTAAAGAGTTTTGGGATTCAGTATTTAAGTATTGTATTAAATGCAACTAACTTAGAATTAAACTAACCTGTCATACCAATTTACTAACCAGTTGTGCTAATCGATTGCGACTGATCACTAGTCAGTATCAACTCTATGACGTGTATCGAGTCCAATATACAATTCCATCAACAGAAAAATGGCAAGTATACTGAATCGCTGTCGTAGGTTTTTGTGTATAAATAATTATTTAAATTTATATCGATTTTTAAAAAATGGTTTTAATCAATCGTGAAGTATAAATGTGTACTGAACGTTTGGATCATGGTACGTAACATCATTAAGTATTACCGTTACGTGTATGTTGTAATCGATTTCCGTACCTACCTATATGAGTATTGAAACGTCTCAGGTTTTGCGCCAGACCCGTGCATCATTATTAAAACGTAGTGACTCAATAATAGAAAACAAAACAAACACTCGCCTATAGAATAAATAAATTACATAAAAACGAACGACTACCTACATATAGACATATATTTTGCTGGTTTAAAAACTGCAATTCGTTTGATACGAATATATTTGCAATGGTTTCCTATCTACATCGAAATCGAATTATCACATTGTGTATAGACGAGCGATTATGGTTAGTATATACATATTTGAAAAACAAACGTACTTTAGGTATAAACATTAAAGAATAAATATTGAACTATTTTGAATATTTCGAATAAGTATTTTTCAAAACATAATATCATGAATTACTTTGTTAGAAATTTTAATTAATTTGTTTGTTGTTAATTCAAACACTTTTGGAAAATTATACAATAAACAGGAAGAGAATAAAGTAATATTATGATTAACATTGAATAACCATCATCCTTTGTATTCAACTGCACTTGACATTTTTATTTAGATTAATTGAACAGTATACTGCGAGAGTGCGATTAAATATAATGTAACGTTGGCTACGCAAAAAAAAAAAAATTTATTAAAAATTTGGTAGGTACTATACGAGACACTATTTCACA